AAAGAGAAAGGGTTTGAATAGATAGGAGAGAGAATAACTACTGGAGCCCTGAAGGCCAAAAAGATTAGTTAAGAAGCTGAATCTGAATTCACGTTTCATGAATCACACTGTGCACTTAAAGGAATAGTGACTCCAGTTAAGACAGCTGACTGGTGACTGACATCCAACTCTGTTCACTTATCGTCTTCTTCTTCTATCTTCTTCCTCTTTTCTTCTTCTGTTTTCTAGTTTTTGTTCTCTTTGTGCTCCCTCTATATCCTCTAGTTCTCCTTTTTAGCCATCTGTTCTTCTTCTTGTTTTTAGAGTTATGCTTTTCTGACTTCTTTGTATAACTGTTCTTCTTTTTTGACTTCTTTATTTTCTTCTTTGACTTTTTCTTCATCCGATTAATCTTCATCTGTCTTTGTCGTATTCCGTCTGCTTCGTCTCTTTCCCCCTCTGTCTTCTCCCATATTTTCGTTGTCGCCTTCTTCCCTCTTTTGTTTGTCTTCTTTGTCTCCTACTTCTATTTCTATTTTCTCTTTGTGCTTCAAACACTTCTCCTGTAACTTCTGTTTCTTCTCCTTCTCCTCCTCCTTCTTTAACGACTTCTTTCAACCAGGAGGAACAGCATTGCCAAAATCCGACTGTTTTGACCCTCCTGACTTCCATTTCACAAACATGCTGTGACTTTTTTTTTTTTACTTGCTCGTTTTGCCCTTTTTTTCACACCAAGTGGAAACTCCTCGGCCATCTGCACCAACAATGTGTCTGCGTGCTCTGCTGTGTATCCCAAAGCATCCAGCGATTTGAACTGACCTGTGTTATTAGATTTTCGTCTGGTTGTGTGAACGGCAAAGGTGTGAAAGACAATTAGCTGTTTGGACTGAGGGATACATGAGAGCACAGGAAGAGTACATGTCTGGTCTGGTGCAGAATCAACGGCCCCTTCAAGGGTTTTCAGTTCCCCTAACCCCTCTGTGTCTGGTCCAGCTCATCTCCGTGGGTGTTAGTGGGGGAGGGGGAGTGAGACGGGTGTCCTGCAGAGTCAGACAGACAGACAGACAGAAAGCAACTGGGAATGCACGGTGTCAGACGAAAAAGGCGGGGCTTTGGATCAAAACAACCTCTAATGGAATCTGCATCCAGGCTGCGTGAATGTGTGAGTGAGCAGTGGGTGATGCGTGTGTGTGTGCGCGTGAAAAGAAAATGATTTATGTGTGCAATGTACTGGAATGTGTGTGTGTGTGTGTGTGTGTGTGTGTGTGTGTAGAGAGAGGCAGACGACGGGCTCTCTCACACGTCAGGCCTTCATGCATGTATTCATCAGAGCCCGGGGAGAGGCTGAGCGAACAGGTCAATAATCACATCTGAGGAACACTCACTCACTGACGCTAATCCACGACAGGGGCGAGCGAGACAGAGGGAGAGAGAGAGAGAGAGAGAGAGAGACCCACTCCAAAATCAATTAAAACCTAATTAGGCTCTCAGCTCTTTCACGGGCCTTTTATCCTCGGTGTTGGCGATACGGCGCTAAGTGTGTACGCGCACGCCTCCATGTGCACATGTCACTCTATCTGCATGTGTGTGTGTGTGTGTGTGTTGGCACACGTTAGAGTGTGTGTTTTCCCTGAGCGTGTGTCAGTTACAGAGTAAGCAGGCGTACTCTTACGGGCTCAACATGGGAGCTCGCCGCTAAAGCCGCTACGATCGCCTCTGTAAAGCAGGATTACAACCCGAACACGTTTAAGTATCAGACAGCCGGACACTTCAGACCTGCTTTAGTGCAGATTCACTTCAGCAACAAGCTTCACACACTTCAGCACTTGTTGTCAGAGAAGACTGGAGTCTGCAGTCTGAAACATCCGACATGAGTCCAGCGGCGCGGCGACATTCAATCCTGATGTTCCATGATTTTATTCATCCCAGCGGGGAGATTCGATTATCATGACAACAAAAGCAAATGAATGACAAAGAAGAGGACGAGAAGAAGAAGAAATAGGACACAACGCATGTGAGATAAAACGAGGGCAGTAATGTGCAGACAATGATCGGAAAATGACCTCAGTGTAACTCTACATCTTAAGGTCCTGATGCAAGACTACACGAGGTAACGGTAGTTCCCGTGGTGGAACAAACTTCCAACCTCCCTCCCCGATCTGCAGAGTCCCTTTGCACCTTTAAGAAAAAGATAAAGACCCAGCTCTTTATGAACACCTATTGATGATATTATTGTTTTTGTTTGATAATGACGATTTTAAGATGGTTTCTATACTGATTAGAGCTCTCAAGAACTGCAGTCAATGTTGTGCTTTGCCTCTGGTCACTTCCTGTCAGCACCTGTGTGTCCAATCAGACTTCTGTTTGTTTGCACTTCCTGACATTGTTGCCTCCTCTTTAGATCCTCGCTTGTGTTGTCCTTACTCTCTGATGCACGTTGCTTTGGATAAAAGCTTCTGCTAAATGAATTGTAGAATTGTAGTTCATAAATATTTGCATTTTAATTGAAGTAGGACGTTTACTGTATTCCCATTTTTATGCAGCTTTTTTTGCAGCTTGAAAGTGCTGCATTCAAAGAGAAGTGAAGGTTTCATAAGTTGCTTCTCTTCTGTATTCAAGACCCTCTGCCCCTTTTTTCTTTCATCCTGACTGCTGTAGAAGAATGCACAGCTAATGCATTCATCGTGCACTCAGCTCTCTACATTTGACCTTTGTGTCATGAATGCTCCAGCAGTGACATAAAAGGAACCTCTCAATTCTAGAGCTCGGTGGATCAATACCTAAATATCTAAAGTAGTATCCTGACCATGCATAGTTATGTGTCTGATATGTTACAGGGTGCTGACTTTGTTGTGGTGACCCTGCAGGCTCACTGCAGCATTGTAACCCTTGAATCCTCACCTGTCACCTGCCACGCAGCAGGCCAGATGAATGTGATCGGGATTATCCCTCCATCAGCAGTCTCAGTCTCTCGCATGCTCTGTTTAAGGAATCAATGCACTGCAGGAATGAGATCGCCTCCAAAAAAAAAAGAGGCTTAGTGACTCTTGTTAATCCCGGTTTTATTCCAAGCTGCAGTACAAAAGAAGTCTTAGAGCTGAGCTGCTGCAGAGAAGCACAGAGGAGAGCTGATTGGTCCCCCTCACATTTACTCACCACTTCTACTTTAGCGAGAAGAAACATTAGCAAGATGTTGTGTTTAAAACCCGCAGACGTCTGCTGCGCGTCTTCAGCATTAAAGAGCCCATCACAGTAATTATGGAGCAAACAGCGGCCCTGTTGTTTTCCTGACGTCTTCCTCGTCGTATGGACTAATTGAGAAGTGTGTGTTTGAGAAGTGTGTGCGTTTGTCGGGACGGGGCGTCCTCGGTGAAGCTGCAGGGCTCCTGCGGCGATGCAGTTAGTTACGCAGGGAATCACAGTCAGGGGGGCGAGGAGACACTTGTTAGCACTGCAGAGAGAGAAAAACTGAGATGAATAATATGGAGACAAATGACAATCATTTACTCACAGTTAGTTGTGCAGCCTGAAATCCGACAGCATGCACATTTAGGACAAGATGTAGATACATGAACATACAGGAAAGAGGCAGAAGAGGAACATTACTTTGAGTAAAAGTTTCTCTTTTTTGAAGAACACTCAGGTAAAAATGTGTAGATTCAAAGGGTCTGACTATAATTCAGAGAGGATCCCTGCAGAGATAGACCTCTGCGTCAGAGGATCACAGCTGATTCCATGAAGAAAAACCAGTCGTTTCATCTTTAAGAGTAAGAGGAATGTTGGTCTACTCCTCCACGGATTGGAAAGAACTAACCTCCAAGCAGGGAACTTTTAACAGACAAATAAAGTCCCCAGAACTTAATGAAGATGCTGTTTTCTGCAGTGGAAAGGTACTTGAAGGTTCCTGGTACTCGGATAAAGTTCCTGCAGTGTAATGGCGGCTTTATGTTTTAATTTATGTCATTTTTTTTTTTTTTTTTTTTATATGTTGAAGAACAAATTTAACCCACACATGGCTGCAAGGAAATACATCTTTAGTGTCTGAGTGTGAAAACATCCGCCTCAGAGAGTGAAGAGTGTGTGTGTGTGTGTGTGTGTGTGTGAGTGTGACTCTGAGCTGCTGCATGTGTCTCATAATGTTAGAGGAATGACATAGGGGGGCTTTGAGCTAATTCTGGATTAGCCAGGTGGGCTCTCTCTCTTCCTCCCTGTGTCTCTTTTACTCACTCACACACTCATAAAAACACACACACACACACACACACACTGACCTGACAGCTAAGAATTTGCTTTTATCGTTCAGGGTCAGTTGGCTGTTTAAAGGTCATAATGAGCTGAGAGCGCAGGCATGTGGAAGCTAAAATGTTAGGCGTCTTCACATTTACTTCACCTAATTCTAACACTAAGGACCCCCCCCTTGCCCCCCGTGCTGCTCATGTCCTCACCTTTCCTCCCCTCTTTATTTTTTCATGAGCTCCTCCGTCTATATTTACACTTCTCATTAATGAGTCCAACCAGCTGTCTGTTTGCCGGCATCTCGCGCTGCAGCCACCCGCTCCAGTCCTGCTCTCTCCGTTTCTCGTGGGTCAACATTCGATGAAGTGAGGAGCGTTCGCCCCGAGTCGACGCAAAAACAGATCTGAGTCGCTTGTCCCAAGCAGAAACGGGTCGTAAGAGCTAAATGTATGAATGCAGCTGAGGGGAGGGAGCAGAAATAAAGCATGGTGGCTTTGACTGGAAGTATTTATTTGTGCTGTAATGTTGCACTGTGTCTTTAAATGCTGTGCTCAGACATTGTGTGTTCTGTCCGCTCCACACCTGTCTGTTTTTTATGAGCTCAACTTGTTACGTAACCCTGTAACTATTTCCATCTCCCCACGGCTGCTCTCCTCTCTCTCTCTCTCTCTCTCTCTCTCTCTCTCTCTCTCTCTCCAAATCAACACAGACTGCATGTAAAGATCACTTTCTGGACGATGCAACTACAGGAAGTAATCTAATGTTCTTCTTCTTCTGCGCATCAGGTACGACTTCATCGAGATCCGCGATGGGACTTCAGATAACGCCGACGTTCTGGGTCGACACTGCAGCAACATCGCCCCGGCGCCGATCATCTCGTCCGGAGCCTCCCTCCAGATCAGATTTGTGTCAGACTACGCCCACCAGGGGGCGGGCTTCTCTCTGCGCTACGAGATCTTCAAAACAGGTGAGGAAGTCGACCTGATTGGTTGTTTCAAAGAAGTTGAATAAAGAAGTTGCGTGTGGTTGTTTTGGGAAACAACCAACCTACCTCTACCCTCCTACCTCTACCTACTTACCTATACCCTCCTACCTCTAACTACTTACCTATACCCTCCTACCTCTACCTACCTACCTCTACCTACTTACCTATACCCTCCTACCTCTACCCTCCTACCTCTACCCTCCTACCTCTACCTACTTACCTATACCCTCCTACCTCTACCTACCTACCCTCTAAGACTACTTCCCCTCCTGGTTAAAATGATTGATTCAGCTTCGGTTATTATTAAGTCTTCTAGTGTGAAGTCGCTATATCTAAGAGATATCTTGAACTGAATTACGATGACTGACAACATTTAAAGGAGAGTTTCCTTCATACACTCGAGGAATCTGTTTGTATTTTTCCCTGATTATCAGGCCTGGAAGGGATTCAAGGTGAAAGCTGTTAGATATTTATCAGAGAACAGAGCGTACGGAGCTCTTCTTGGCTGTTCTGATCGTCCCACACTTTGATTTATTACAATCTTGTTACACTTTTACATAATGCTGATATGCAGTTTGGAATACTGTAGACTGTAGCTGATTAAAACGTGATTCATGTTGTTTATTCTTGCAGTATGGAGGAAATCTCACAAAAATCTGTTTGAGCATTTGGCCGACAGCCTCTGCAGAATGGATCTAATTTATCTCAACGAGACGTTCATGGGAAGCAAAACTTTCAGGAAACTTCTTCAGCCTCTGGTCCAAACTGGCTCCGCTCTACATTCAAACTTAAGTTAATGATTTTGTCTTCTCTGCCTCGTGTTAATGGCCCGAAACCTGTGATCGTTCACCCCGACACTCTCCCAACAATTAACATCAGTAGAGGCAGCGGCGCATGTAAACAAGAGAGGAGGGAAAAGTACTCTAAAGCCGCCTCAAAGCATGTGAGGAATGCTTCCCTAATTGGTGCAGGATCCGCTTCCTCCGGGGAGGCGAGTGAGGCGGGTTGGGGGGTGTGAGGGAGGTGGTGGGATGATGGAGAGAGCTCCGAGGCAACTTGGAGTTGGACTTAAAGGTTAAAGGTTTACGGTGGGAGGAGGAGGCGAGGAGATTGATGGGGACGAGTGTGTGGGGAAATGGAATTTTCTCTCGAGGTCGTGGAAGTGATCGTTGCAGGTGAGCTTTGTTCAGGAGGGTGTATTTGTTTTGGAGGCTGAGGTGTGTGTGTGTGTGTGTGTGTAGTGGTGGTGGTAGAAAGAGAGGTGAAATGGTCAGTTGGCCTTGAGGCAGATTAAAGAATTATGTCTGAATGAGTTACCTGCTGATTGTCTTTGCAGCAGTTGGTAGCATTTGAGGTCACTCCCCAGCAGGCCACCGTACATCTAAAGGGCATTTTCAAACCTTTAACACCTTAGAAGCATCCACAGAAGAATCCCTACAGAGAATACACTTTCTGTTAGCCTTTTTTTTTTTTTTAACCAGAAACAGCCTTGCATGAACAATCCTGCGACAATTTATGAAGTGATGTTTAACATTTATGGCTTTAAATACCAATAAGAAGGCGCTTTGGACTGCTCTGGTAGATTTCTTCATCAGCCGCTTTGAGACGGACTGCAGCGTAATCCCTGTGATCAAGAGCGTCCATTGAAATGCTTTTACACTGCACTCGTCTTAGCCACCAGACTCCATTAACAAAAACACTTCTTCTGCATGCAAAATTCAGGAGTTGCTGGTCTACTTAACTCAGATTCAACACAATACAATACCCTTAAAAAAAAACTAACAGATCAAGGCAGAAGTCCACCTTCATGTTCTGCACGTTCAAAATCACTCTTTTTTTTCTTCTTCTTTTTGAGCCCTGATGGCCTAGCGGTTAGTCCAGCGGCCATGAGTTCAAATCGGACCCCGGCCCTCTGCTGCCTGTCTTCCCCCACTCTCTCCTCAGCTGTCCTATTCAGGCAAAAAAATGTGAACGTCGAATTGGTCCCAGATTTAACAATATCCCTAAATTCACTTGAAATTTAGGCCCTTGGAAATGATGAAGTCGGGGCGGGTGTATCATAAAATCTGAGCAGTCATGTAAGGAAACTCTCTGACTTTTCATTTCCTTCCTTTAAAAAGATCTTTTTTTTTTTTTTTTTTGTCAAACCAATGTGACCCAGATTTTAACGATCAGCTCTGTTACCAAGCACACCAGCTCTAACCCACGACAATGTAATCGCATAGATTGCATCTGTCTCTCTCACACACACACACACACACACACACACACACACACACACACACACACACACACACACACACACACACACACACACACACACACACACACACACACACACACACACAGATGTAGATGGATTTAAGGCGGGTGGATGGGGGATGCGGTTGCCATGGCGTTTACAGGTTCCTGATATAAATTCAGGGGGGTATGAGAGATTGTGTCACTGTGGGAGCACATGTAGGTGTCTGCTCGCTGCACGTGTGGGTGGTTCCTCTCAGCCTGTTGTGTATGAGATTGTGTGTGTGTGTTTGGAGGCGGAATGATAGATGCGTGTGTGTGTGTGTGTGTGTGTGTGTGTTAGAAAAAGAGACATGGTGGGAAAATGATTGGGGTGAAGGGAGACAGAACGACAAAAGAGGAGTGAGTCACAGTGAAAATGTATTCAGGATGCGTGATTGAGGCCATGTGTTAATTGCGGCGTTTGCACGCTCGCTCATCATCGCTGTTTGTCTTCAGCGAGGCTGTGTGAGGCCACAGGTTTCCACTGAACACAGCGATCCCAGCTACCATGTGTTTGTTTACCAGAGTGGAACAAATCCCACCACTGTAACTTCTCCCCTTGTTGAAGCATTTATGTGTACTTTTTAATTCCCAGCATGCTTTGGAAGACAGGAGGGAAGTCACGATAACAGATCAATACTAGTAAAAAATAATCTGTTGATACATGTTTCTAAATGACGGCAACAAAATGAGAAGTCCTGGACCCCCACTCTAGTTTAAGGTCTTTAGTAATACTGACCAAGTTCAGTTATTTCGGTTAAATTCAGTTATCACCAAATACATGATATAGACTGCCTTGAAAAACAGTATCGAAAGTGTGAGAATAATCCTGGATGGCACTTTGAAGTGTGTGTACAGTGTGTGGGTTTGCGTTTGTGTTTTTCTAAAGGGTGTGTCCTCGCCAAGATTGCCATCTCCACACACAGTAGGGATGTGTGTGTGTGTGTGTGTGTGTGTCAGCTTCGTTTAAATCTGAAACAGACAGCACAGCTTACAGTCCGGGCTCACCCCGCCAAACCGTGTCTAGAAGTCAGTCTGTGTGTGTCTGTGTGTGTGTGTGTGTGTGTGTGTGAGTGAGTGTGTGTGTGTGTGTGTGTAGAGCCTGCTTCCTGTAGGATGAACTAACACTACAACGGCTTGTTTTTGTTTTGTTCAGTCAACCCCGTTACATAAGCGATGACTCTAACAACTCTAGGGGATTTTGAATTGGACAAGCAATCTGTTTGTGTGTGTCAGTGTGTCAGTGTGTGTCAGTGTGTTTGTGTGTTTGTGTGTGTCAGTGTGTTTGTGTGTTTGTGTGTAATCGGGGTACAGTGCAGCCAGATCTAATTATTTCCAGCACAGGAGGAGCAGGAGTCGACCTCTGGCTCTGCATCCATCCTGATACCCCTTCACCTTATAGTACACCTCCTGAGGGGGGAGTGTGGGTGGTGGGGGGGGGTTGCCCCAAAAAAACAAGCTTCCACCCTCCCCCCCCTTACATACAGTACTCATGCTGTACAGTGAAAGTGCACGACCCCCCCCCCCCCCCATTATTGTTATGGCCTACTTTGGTCCTACTCATGCGTGCTTAACCCTTTATTCTGCCCTGTCTACCAACCCCCCCTCCTCTCCCCTTTTCCCCCCATCCATCGCTCACACACTTTCACTTACATCGTCACGTGCTCCCGACGCTGTTACCACGGCTACAGGGGGAAGACTTGCAAGCAAAGCCCCTTTTTACCCAGATCCCCCAAAGCCCACCACTGGCGCAACGGGGCAGATAGCGTAGCAGCCAATCCTGAGTAAAGACAACAGCGAGAGCACCCGAGGGCGTTGGGTCCCCTCTATGACCGCTGCCATGGCATCTGCGTGGGTCACGGCGGGAGCGCAGCCTTAGGCGGGACCCCCCACCCAAGTGCCAGTCACAACATAGGCCCCCGCAAGTATTTCCGATGCTGTGATTGGACGCCAACTCCCGAGTAAGTGATGGCTGTTACTACGTGGCTGCTTGCCATGTTGTGTTATTCCTTAGGAACCCGACTCATCCCAATGCAGAAATAACACACAAGTAATTAACTGGCAAAGGTAAATTAAATTCATGAATAAATAAACTGGATGAGCGCTCCAAACTGATCAGTGATGAAGAGACTGGAAATGAATAATAAGGTGTCATCAGCGTAGAGGCGAATACAGCTCAGGAAAGCTGCACTAACTCTTTCAACAGAAACAGCAGGAAGCTTGTCGCTTTCTCGATGATAAATTCCACAACACATAATCATGATTGAGGGAGGGAGCATTCCTCTCTAAACTCAGCTTCCTTTCACTGATGTGCGGTCATGTCTCTGTGGGTCCATAAATGTATTGAGCCATGGCACGCCAAGAATGTTGTTCTTGTGTTGGGTCTTCCTCTTGTTTGTGAAGATGTTGTTGTTGTTGTTCTGGTGTTGCCACCCTACCCCCCCCCCCCTCCCCGAAGCACGCCTCTTACTTCCGCCACACACCCATGAACGCACATCTACCCCGACGCCTCAGGAGAGCTTTTTCTTCAATGGAAATGTGGAACTGAGCTCAACTGAGCTCAAGCAGGGTAACAGGAGAGATCTGTCTGCGTATGAGGAGCAGATGTATGTCAGGAGGGGGGTAGACAGGCAGGTGGAGAGCAAGAGGGTGAGGGTGTGCGTTTGATGTGCAGCAGACACTCAGAACACCGAGGTGAGCCCTCAGCAAGAGTGGCATGCAAAGGACAAGGATGAGCACGGCGACGGCAGACGAGACAGAGTTAAAAGAGTGAATGAACAGAGACTGTGAGCGTCGCTTCTGAGAAGACAGAGAATGGAAGGAAAGGATGAGAGGAGGAAGAGGAGGAGGAGGAGGAGGGAAAGGGGGATGCCCTGACACATGTGGAGCTCCTACTACATCAGGCACTCATGTGTAAGAGTCGAGAGGTTTCTACCCAGCAACTCACCCCCCCCCCCCCCACACACACACACACACACACACACACACACACACACACACACACACACACGCATACACATACTCACACCATGACCTCCCCCTCTTTGCCGTCTCCTGCCAAATGGCAGCTCATGGTAACTTGCGAGCACCGACTGCGTACGGCGAGCATGTGTATGTGTGTATGTGTGTATGTAAGACGTGGGCAGCGGGGCGACGGAGGGAGGTAGAACTTGTTTTTGGCGTGCTTATACACTGTGAACTAATGAGCGCTGACTAAAAGAGAAGGTACTCATGCATACGCAAAGCCGCGCAGAAGGGAGCACATGCAAAAACAGGAACACATGTGTGCACACGGCGTTGGCACGTGGAGGCGCGGTGTGTTTTGAAGCGACTGATTCGCGCACGCGGAGAGTAAAACTGCAAAAACAGAGCGATGTGTGTTTGGAGGCGATGGAGTCAAGCTGTGCTCAGATTGAAGCTTTCTGCACTGTGACCCAGTAAGAAACAAGGCCAGTGTGTTACTGGGTCTAACACATACTGAGAAGAGATCACACACACCTTCACACACACACAGGAGACTTATACAAAGAGACAAAACATGCCAGCAGCAGAAGATGCACATTTGAGGGGCCTAATAGAAGACATGCAAAGACACACTCTCATGGCATATGGCTCATGTATAGTGCATTTGCTGTTTTATTGTAAGCACATTGCAATCCCATTCATCTCATTGCTTTAATGGATTCACAGCAATCATGTTTATCCAGCAACACGCAAACACACCAAACATACTTAACACAGAAGAGGTGAGGTCAGTAGTCGAGCGGATGGGAACATAATGCCGCTAGCTTTCTGTAAATTACCATCATATTTCAACATGACTAGTTCTGTGTGTATGTGTATGTGTATGTGTGTGTGTGTGTGGAGGCAGACAGCCTCCTAGCACGCAGGCGGATGATCCACCAGTTGTTTTCATGCTGCAGTTTGTGTGGGAGTCGACACAAGAGGTTTTTTTTTTTCATGTGAAGGGAAGATTTTTTGCATTTGTGCTAAAATCTGGAGTTAAACATCCCCAAAGGCGTTTAAAATACATCGATGTATATGAGCACGATGGCTGTTTGAAAACGTTAGTAAGAGGATTAAGGAGCAAAAATAAATCGTAAGGAAGGGAGGAAAGAGAAGATGAATAGAAAGCGGATCTATAGAAGCTGCTTGTGAAGAGAGACAACAAGGCAAAGAGACACAGACAGTGCATGTCCCCTGAGCCTTTTCCCTCTCTCCTCACACTGATTGGGGTCAGTTCTCTGCCATTAACCAAGTGTAGACAGGGGAGGGCCGGAGCAAACCAGCCGACCTCTCTGCTTTTATAGGGCTGCCTGATAATAAGGACTGGTGCCTTGGAGGAATGCTGCAGCAGGAATGTGCTATTAACATGCCTGTGATCCTAAACACTGCTTTTATGAATATGTAGCTGCTTATCAAACCGAGCTGGCAGCTCTCTGACACACTGCAGCTCTGCTCGATGCGAAACAACACTTTCCCAGGTTTGAAATCCACCAGAAGCTTCTCCCCTGAGCCTCTTCAACCTGACCTCTGGATCTGCTTTCCAGCACACACAGCGATGGGAAAAGACTTAAAGCAGAGATTGTACTCCTTATGTTGGTTGTTGATGCTTGCCAATTGTAAGCACTTTGGCAGACAAACCATGTGAGCTGTGAAGGGGAGTCGTAGCATTTTAGAATCTGGTTTCTATTTTTTACATGTGTTGAAGTGTAAAAGTACAAGATTTGGATTTAGTCTGGTAGATTCCCTGAGCTGTGAGAAGACCTGTACTGTGCTGAATCAAAAGTATTTCCTGTAAAAGTGCTCGTTTGTGCAGCTGACAGGCTCCAGTTGTTGATCAAACTGTCTGATAATGTCACAATCAGCTCTGTGTGATCGCTCCGTCCAGAGCCACCAGACTCCATTGACAAAAACAGTGATTTTACCTTTCAGAACAAACGAGTTGATGGTCGACCCCGACCTCTATCAACTTTTATTTGTGTAGTTATGTGGTGCACAGTGATTGTATTGAGTTTGCTAACCTTGTAGAAATAGAAATCAAACAGTAAGAGAAGCACATGTTTAATAGCACATTCTGTGTCCTGAGCAGTATAATTACTGTTTTTTTCAGTGGTGGATTTGAAGAAAGCGACGTCATGCCTATTTCTGGGGTTTAAGAAGTATTCCACCATCGCAGAGAGGTCGATCCTTTCATCTATCTTTGTGTGTAATGTTTCAAAAACAATCTCAGTGGCTGAACGAGCACTTCGGATGTTTTTGTGCCCGTTAAAGATTACAATGCAGCCGTCAGCTGGAGCATTTTACCACAGAAATTAGAAAACAAAGTTTGACCCCTTATAGTTTAGACCCTTAATGTAAGCAAGAGGCCCTGCGTTAAGATAATCCAGATAACTCATGCGAGTATCAGCCATTTTAGCTGGAGTGAAGTAAAACAACAAGTGCCTTTATAAATGGAAGTGAACTTATTTACAACCACAGGCCTTGCTGACATGTGCCTTTGAACAAAGACAAACTGGAAATCATGCAGAACATTATCACATGAGGCTATTTGCCCTTCTGGCAGAAATTAAAAAAAGACAAGCAAAGCGACTGGACTGATTACAGCCTGCACATAAAGACACGCATGTTCATAGTGTGTGTCGGCTTTGTGAATAAGACGCCGTGTCCCTCCACCACTCTCGCTGACGTGCCGCTCCAGAAACAGTCGCCCGTGACTCAGGCTCCCCAGTGGGCCATGGAGCAGTGGCTGATGGGTAGATGATCTGAGCCACACAGCTGCCGCCGCTCAAGGTGAGCCGCCCAGGGCGCATAAATCTACATGGCCAATGAGGAGCCACCGCAAAGGGCCCACTTAGAACCATTACACAGTGTTTGTGGTGTGTGCGAGTGTGTGAGAGGAGGACACACTCGCAGACAAGAAAAAGAGAGGAAGAATGCTGGAAAGTAATTTTCTACTTTCCTCTTTAGCCAAGCATTAATATGACATATAACCTTCAACATGTGGGGTCTTTTAAGGGTCCAGTAAGGCCACTGAACTTATTATTACTTTTGATATAAAAGTTTGTTCATATCTTTGTCACATTGCTTTAAAACATGGGTTTTAAAAAAGTGGTTGCAGAACATTTTTCCAGGCAGGAAGGGAGCAGACTGACAAAGAAAAAGACTGCTAGCCACGCCCACTTGAGCGTTTGCAGACTGTGTATTTTCTCGATCAGTAATCAGAAGACGTGTGTGTTTGTGTGTCTCACCACCCTAGCTACTGTATATTCAAGCTCTGAAGTCAGTGATGAACGACTCCCTGAAACAACCTCTGCAAGTCAGATGAGATATCCCACTGTGATCGATTGCTTTTGCCTGTATCTTCTCCTAATATGACCGATTGCTGATTCCTTTTTCTAAATATCCTCTCATCCTTTGTGTCCGCACAGGGTCGGAATTCTGCTTCCGCAATTTCACCAGCTCCTCTGGGATGATCGATTCTCCGGGCTTCCCGGATAAATACCCTCACAACCTGGAGTGCTCGTACATGATCATCGCCCCGCCGCACATGGACATCACCCTGACATTCCTTACCTTCGATCTGGAAAATGACCCCCTGCTGGTGGGAGAGGGGGACTGCAAGTACGACTGGCTGGACGTGTGGGATGGTCTGCCTCAAGGTGAGGGAACGGTGAAGTGGATGATGCTGAACGAAACAAAGTAGAAATAATAAAAAGAATCCTTAAGGACTTGTTAAAGAGAGGTGGTTCTGTCCTTAACGTTAAAAGGTGTTCATCTCTCCCACTCGCCTGTCGGTGGCAAAAACAAGCATCTCTGGAAAACACATCAGGGATTTAGCTGCAGCTACTACAGCTTATTTCATGTCTGCCAGGTGAAGCAATCCACTGGAGCAATCCCCAAACCTTTTGTTCCTGTAATCATGTAGAACCCAAAACATAAAAAAAAAAAATAGGACCCAGGTGTAAAAAAAAAAAAAAAAAAAAGACTTTCCCTTCAAGGTGCACGGAAACACGCTTAGAAAATCGATGTGTCACGGGATAACACACACCAACACACACACTTCCTCCATGCCCGCAGTCAGAACTCACACACACACACTCGTGAAATCCTCCACGTTCTCACAGACATTTTCATCGCGGTCTTCACTTCCTGAGCAGTCGTCGCTCTCTTTGATGTGAGTGGCCTTTCCTTACATTCCTTCACATTACATAGAGGAAACATTATTTCACACTGGCGGCTGTAAGAGCCTTGGACACCCCTAAGGAGCAGCCCTTTCCCATGCCCCTCTCTCCTCTCCATAACAACACCCTTCATCAACCCCCCCCCCCCCCCCCGTCCTCCCTGTCCTCCCACCTTATCACCTCAGAGCTTCCTTCCTCCCCCAGGGCGAGTGAGAGTGACGGCCACGATATATATCTGTTTGTGTCCAATAGGAGGTGCCGAGTGTTTGGAGAGTGGCCTATCAGCTGAGATCAGGAAGTGGCATGAAAAACATTTGATGATGTTATCAAAGGGCTTTGATAGAGAGCGCCATAGGCTAACGTTAGCTGCTGTAGAGCTGATGAAAACCCTATTAGTGGTGGTGAAAGGCTCACTTTCTCCCCGGCTCTACCCCCTTTTTTTAAAAAGAAGGGAGAGAACTGAGGATTTGCTCTAATTATTCTATTTTCAGTTGCTAAAAAGGAATCCAAGAGGATTTAAAATTCCAATTATAGCCTTGAATTTGGCAGCTTTGATAGCTGAAAACAATTTATGCCATTTAAAGTTGAGAATTAGGAGGAAATTAAAGTGTAACCCAGTTCCAGTGAGAGGAGTCCTCGGGCACTGAAAGATGAACGGGGAAGACAAGACGGAGGGGTGAAGAATTTGGCGTCTGGTGAGGGAGCTGCTCTTGAGACTAGTGTAATCCTAACCGGAGTGTGTGTGTGTGTGTGTGTGTGTGTTTGCAGCTGATCCCAGTGCAGCTTGCATTAAGGCTGGGATTCACGGTCCCCCCTGCTGGGCCCTGGCTGAGACACACATGGCAGATGGAGGGATGGACATGGGGAGGAAAAAGGGAGGGAGGGAAACGACGGGAGGAAGAAGCACGCTGCGACTCATTAGACAACACTTACTGAAGCAGTGTGGCCACTGGAAGCCTTTCTCTGCACAGCTGAATTTCTTTGTTTTAAACACGGCGAGATGCCATGTTGTCTGATGCTGCAACACAAAAGATCTGAAAAGAAGAGTCATATAGCAGTAAGAGCAGCTGCTCGCTACCCTGATTTTAGAAGAAACAGCTTGTTGCATTTCAATGAAGTGGCTGAAAGAGCTTTCACTGAATTATTTCCCTGGAAAAACACTCTAAATCAATCTTCCTGGGCCCTGTTTTTACATAAAAGGAACAAAATGTTTGGAATTGTTCATTTAGATTCCCTTAAGGAGCCAGAGGCAGACTGTCATTACTAAAATAAATATCAGGGGGAATGAAAACTCTTCTTTTTGCCACTGACACTGATGTGTCTGACATCATAGAGAGAGGATCCCAACAGAGAAAGACCGCTTGGTGAAGTGATATCAGGCTTTTTTTTAAATTTCATCACTTTATTCAGAAGCACCAAACTCCACTGATGAAAATAGTCATTTCACTTTGCAGAATACATGAGTTGCTGGTCGTCAGCTGCTGCAGCCTGTTGGGTTTTTTCAGACATGGGAGTATTTAAACAAACTAAGGAGGCAGCAGCTTCTGTGTTCTGCAGGGTTAAACTTTCTCTCTCTCTCTCTCTCTTTGTGCGGATCTCTTTGTAATGTTGCCTCACTCTTAAAAGAACAATCTGAGTTTGTGATTTGCCTTAAACATCACTTTTAAACGATGCTCTTTTATTGGTTCCTTCACTTTTTAGACACCAGAATATGAGCACATAGGGCACGTGTATAATGCTGCATTTTCCCGTCTACACCACGTCTGCTACCTCAGCCTGATATTCTTTTGTGTGTTTCTGCAGTTGGTCCTCTGATCGGTCGCTACTGCGGCACAAAGATCCCCCCAGAGATCCAGTCGTCCTCCGGCCTGCTGTCCCTCTCCTTCCACACCGACATGGCCGTGGCCAAAGACGGCTTCTCGGCGCGATACAACATGACGCACAAAGAAGTCAGCGACTGTGAGTGCCAGATAACTTTGTGTCTGCGCCGCTTGTTTACCTTTCTCCTGCGCCCACCTCTATTTCAACAGCCTCCTCTCATCCCTCATCTCATCTCCCTTTCTGCGTCTCTCACTCCTCTTAACCCTCGCCATCTTTTTTCTTTACACCTTTCCTGCTTTAATGCTATTTCAATCTCAAAGCTCTCTTTAACCTCTCTGAATCTATGTGGCTCCCTCTGAAGAGAGCATTACTTCTCACAAGCAGACTCATGACTATTTTCTTTTAGAATATAAATTAGCTTCACCTCAATTTACCTCCACTCACCTGTTGCCCTTTCATTCTCTCTCTCTCTGGATTCACCTTTTTCTTCTAGCTCCACATCCTCTCCCTCTCTCTCTTTCTTACAGCTGATCTTTCATCTCCAACAGCTCCATATAAACTTTGTTTCCCTTCTGCCTCCCGTCAGCGTTTCACTGCAGCATGGCGCTCGGCATGGAGTCAGGAAAGATCAGCGACGACCAGATCACCGCTTCCACAACTTTCTATGACAACCGCTGGCTGCCGCGCCAGGCCCGCCTCAACAACGACGACAACGCCTGGACGCCGTCAGAGGACAGCAACAAGGAGTACATACAGGTCAGACACTACGGGATCGCACAACATCTCTGATAGTGAGGATCAGGTTTTGATCCAGTCTACCTCCTGGATTCAGACCACAGAAACTCCTCACATACGGCAGCTCGTGAAGCGGGCTGTCAGCGCAGAGAGGAGAAGCTCAGAAAGCTGAATTCCACAAAAGTCCAGTTGTGATCATTCCAGCTGAGGAGTAGCCACAGAAAGTGAAATCTGAAGCGTCCTCACTTTCACTGTCAAAGGACGTGAAAGTGATTCTTGTGCCGAGTAAAAAAACATCTTGTATACAGTGAGAAGGTAGAGCAGGACACACACACACACACACACACACACACACACACACACACACACACACACACACACACACACACACACACACACACACACACACACACACACACACACACACACACACAGACACACACAGACAACACACACACACACACACACACACACACACACACACACTGAGAGGAAAGAGGAACTGTGAAGTGATGATAAGGAAGTGCTTCTACGCTCTCAATCTTTCCTGTCTCAAACACACACTGGTAGTCTCCAGTGCACACACACAGACACACACACACACACACACACACACACACACACCACACACAGAGCTGAGGAGAGCGGCGAGGAGCTGGTGATTGATGAAGGTGCTCTTCAGGAATGCATCCTAACACTCCGCCATTGATCTTTGCCTCCAGCCTTGCTCCCCTCTACACACACACACACACAATGCAAATACGCACACACACACACACACACAGCACCCAGTGTCCCTCAGCAGCAGGCCACAGTCGGCGTTCACCCCCCCGCTGTCTGTGTGACGGATAGACGCCGCAGCGGGTCTACATCAGGCCTGAGCACCATCAATCCCCACAGCGCTCTGCAGCTCCATGTATCACTCTATGACTGAGCACGTCTTCAACGTCAGAAAAACTGACAACGTTGTTCCTTCTTCTGCACGTGTCTCCAGGTCGACCTCCACTTTCTGAAGGTGTTAACGGGCATCGCCACACAGGGAGCCGTTTCAAAGGAGACGCAGAAGTCGTACTACGTCACCACCTTCAAACTGGAGGTCAGCACCAACGGCGAGGACTGGATGGTGTACCGACACGGCAAGAACCACAAGGTAGGCTCTAATGTAAATACTTTCAGTTTTCAGTATCGTCTCTGCTTTGGACAGAGTGTGCGTGCTGCTGCATTTTTATTTTTATGAAGTGTCGGGAGCGATTTCTGTTGGCACCAGAATATTTTTAGATTTAAATTTGGGCCATGGCATTTTTACATTTGGCTGCTGGCTGAATTTTCTGCTCCACATGAATGTGTGTGTGTGTGTGTGTGTGTGTGTGTGTATGTGTGTGAAGTTTAGAGGTTGCCTCCTGCTGAGAGGAGATTTCACAATCTTTTTTTTAATCTCTTGCAAATACAAGAGGAAATAATTGATGACCAAATACAAGAAGAATGGCTCTGGTTGCACGGAGAGGTTACTCATCATCTATGGCTCTTTTAGCATCCCCCAGCAGCACAGGGAGTGTGGAGCAGATGGGAGGATTATCCAATGTGTTAGTCGAGTCTTCTTCACTCATTGATCCCCGATCCCCTCTGACTTGTGTCATTTCTACTGTTTGATTGTCGTACAGTACGGCCCTTCAGTCAGCTCTTGTTGTTGGTTTATGAACTAGATTTGACTGGATTGGAAACATGTACAATCAACCTACTGGCAGCAAAACTGCACAAACAGGGACGTTTAGTTTCTGATCCTCTTGGTTCCATGGGTGAAACTAACATTTTCTAAACTGAACAAACTGTGGAAAACTCTGAATTTGAACGTGCAGTCACAAGCTCCCCTCTCTCTAACCTTTACTCTACCACCATGATCCCTTCTTCAACAACAGAGGCAATTGTGTGCATCCATATGGATGTACGCTACATTCCTGGAGGAGCCCCCCCCCCACCCATTACAGGACTGTTTGTGAACCTGAGTCATGACCCGAGTCATGAGGAGGAGAACGAGGGAACGTAGAGATAGAGATAGTAGAAAGAGGGGGAAGCTGACAAACGAGAACAATGGAGTCCTCTATGTGTCCTTATCTGAGCTTCAGCTATTCATCATCTCTCACCCAATGAACACTCACATATAAACAAACACCGGGGTTGTGAAACCTTTGGAGTCGTAAACAGAGTGGATTTGTGTTTAGCAGCACTTACAGCCTTTCATTGCACCTTGAAATGTGAAACGTATTCCTCCTTTTAGAACTTCAGACCTGACGTGTTATAAAATTAGGCCTAAGGTTTATATTAGAGGTTAGTTTTTTTCATTATTCTTTGGTGCTTGGAGCCTTGAAGTGGACTCAGTGGATCATCGGGTGTGTGAGCTGGGCTTGTTTGTTCACAGGGCAGGTAGTTGTTGTGGTCGTGCTGCGACCTACAGGGGATTTGAACGCTCTCTCGCATTCAGGTTAAGGTCACTGTGGATTTCCAGCAGAAAAATAGAGAGTGGCGAGGCAGGGGGGGGGGGTTGGTTTGTAGAGGGTTAATCCACACACGCTTACCCACTTGGACTGGGGCCCCCCTCCTGTGCGTGCCAGTGATTGGTTTTGGCGGGACCAGTGGGGGGTATTTGATGTGGAGATTATTGAGGGAAACGTGGATTTGTCTTAAAAAGTCAACATCTGTGCAATTTATTAGAACCCCCCCAATCCACACACACACACATAGCCCACCATCAGACCCCCCCCTTTGAATAACCTCTGGCTGCTCTCTGGGTCTGGAGATGTGTGCATGTGCACGCCCATGTATACGATGTGTGCCTGTCTGTCTGTGCCGTGTAATCTGAGTCCACTAATCCGTCTGAGTGAAAAATACCGCTCAGACATTTTCTGACAGATGAATCAACATGCATCAGGGAGAGAGAGAGAGAGCTTGTAGGATGATTGGTCGCTTTGAACATTTTAAAATTGGTTATGTTTACAGCTTTTGGAATCAAGTCCAGCTGCAAGATGAAAGATCAATAAAAGAAAGCAGATTGGTGCCGTTAGGAGAAAAGGCTGAAGTGATGATGCTGCTGCAGCCGATGATAAATACTTTTTATGCCTCCCTGCAGGAGACAGCTCCAGCTCCGGCTGTTTAGTGTCTTAGACTTTCTGTCCTTCCATTTGCATGTTCCTTTGTGCAAAATATCTCACGACTGCTTGCAGTAAAAAATTTTCACATTTGGCAAAAAGAACTCCATCAGATGTTCCTGTTTGAAGGTCAAACATCACAATCACTGTGACCTCTGTAGGATGTCAGTAAAGGTCAAAAAGCTCCATCAACACTTGTAGTATTAAGATCATCTTTTTTAACAGATTAGACTGATGCATGACTTCTAACTAAGCCAACCTGAAAGGCTTGTCAGAATTGTTCTAAACGGATGGTTTGGTTTCTCCTCACTAAGTTCAAACCAGGAGATCCAGCCTGCTCCTCGTCCTAAAGGAATATACTATCATGTATTTGAATAGTTTGATGTGGATGAAGGATGTTTGTGCATTCAAAGAAATATGACAGCTCCATCATTTAGTCCACACTTAATTAGGTTTGGTAAATTTGCTTTAAAATCCATGAGGATTAAATCAGCAACTTTCTTTGATGTTTTTCTAAAGATTCTCAGATTACATAAAACTTTCTCTTTGTATTTCTGCAGACCATCGTCGGTCATGAACAGACAGGATTCAAATCAAAGCAGTTTGTAGTCTTGATTCCTCTTCAATTAAACCTCAGACTTCACTTGACTCTCCCTGACACCCCCGGGTCTTCCTCCAGTCCCCGTGGACTCCCGTTGAATCTTCCGTGACTGTTAATCCAGCAGTCATGTCGTACGGACTCCCAGTCAGCCCGACCTAAGCCCCCCTGAAGAGCCCTTAAGTGGTTGAAGCTCAACTCTCGTCGGGGGGTCTTGTAATGACTGGGATTTGGTTCTTTTAATTGTCATTTAACAGTGAGCTTGAAGCTAATGTGGCTTTGGAGGAAGAGTGTTTGTGACAGTGTGTGTGTGTGTGTGTGTGTGTGTGTGTGTGTGTGTGTGTGTGTGTGCGTGTGCGTGTGCGTGTGCGTACATCAGATATGAATCAAAGGTTCAACCTCGGCATGTTTGTGTTTTTTTTTTTGTCAAGATGTGTGTCCTTATTTGTCGTGTTATCAACGAGCGAAGGATATAATGTCGATAAAGATTATTTGACTGACAGGGAGAGGAGCTGAAAGGCATTGTGGGAAATCTTTTTTGGAGAGAAATAAAAGTGCTGTAGGAGGAGGAAAAAAAACACCAGCACTGCAGATTGCTATCACCTCAGTCACACCAGCAAACAGGCTTTGTGTGTGCTTCACTGTGACTGTGTGTGTGTGTGTGTGTGTGTGTGTGTGTGTGTGTGTGTGTGTGTGTGTGTGTGTGTGTGCTTCACTGTGACTGTGTGTGTTTGTGCGTGGTTTTTCTGTCTCATTTTCTGCGTGCCAACACATTTTCACTTTGACACCCATGTGACTTGTTAATTCTACATCACACCGCTTACATATGCACCTCATTACTTGATGAGACGCTAGCACACTTAGGAATTGTCCCACACACACACACACACACACACACACACACACACACGCGCGCACACAAGGATTTTTTTGTTTTGTAGATTTAACATAGACACCCAAACTAATCAACATTAAAAACACACACACTGTCATCCGTCTGTGTGCAAAATCAGCCCCGGTGCTAACGGAGCATTGTGTTACTGAAAGGCATTGTGAGGATGTGCTAGATCTACACGCACACGCACACACATGTAGACAAAGTAACCTGGGAGAGAAGAGAAAAAAAAAAAAAACAGTCCACGCAGCATTTCTTTCCTCTCCTCCATCACACGTTGTCACACATCCACAGACGCACACAAGCTTTGTTTTTCACTTCACCATTTCTCAAGTTACCTCTGCATGTGGCTGCAGCCTGTTCTCCCTCCAAAGATTCCTCTCAAACACAGCGTGGTCAGCAGCTGACATCTCTTCTTTTCTTCTTGTATCTGTTAAACATGCCTCAAGTTAACCCTCAAAATGAGCTCCGTCCAGTTAAACTTTCACAATGAAGCCTGCTGGAGGAGAAAATTGTACATTTGAGGAGTTTTGCAGAATGCATCATTTATCGACATTTATTTCATGTTCTGGGTCTGTTGCAGCTTTGTTACATAGATAGATGTTTCCAGAGGACGAGCTGCCAAAAGAATCAGCCAGATGCAAAATGGTCCTCCTTCTTAGTTGATTTGTTCCCTCAGTAAACATTCCCCTGATGAGTTTATGGTCTCCTTCTCCAGTTTCAGGTCTTCTTCCATTCATCCTGATGTTCATTTCGTCAACCATGGTCCCATTTCGAGAAGTACAGATAAAGCTGCTACCACTCCGACTTATAAACCAGGAACAAGACGGAGTAATATTTCTTTACATCGTGTGGTCACTTCAGTAGGCAGTAAGTGTATTTACCTGGATAGTGATGTTTTGAAGCTTTGGGTCTCTGAAACAGGCGCCATGTTTGACAATAAGGACAGAGAATGAGCTGAGCGATTCCCATACACTCGCCTGTAGTCGAGTGGAAACACGGGAACACAGCGGGACACTTGAACATACGGACATGTATGACAGCTTCTAAGGATCACTGCTTCAACCTTAGCATCAACACACACACACAATGCATGCCCCAGTTGTGGAGAGCGGCCAGCTGGAACCAGTTCCTACTGTCAACATCTTCATACCGAGAACAAGGGGGGAGGGGGGGGCGTCGAGAGAGAGGAGGAGGCAGAAAGAAAAGAGAAAGACAGAAGGAATAAGTAGAGCAAGAAGACGAGGATGACGAGTGTAACGGACAGAGAACAACACGGGGATGAAAAAAAAAAAACGTCAGGGAAGAGAATAATGTCTTGTGCAGAACTCGTCTTCCCTCCCTGCGGCGCCATCAGCTTGAAGGAAAACACTGGCAGAGGAAGAGGACCTGCCAGAAACACAAAAAAAGAGAGAGAGAATGATGGTAAATGAATCAAGCTAGGACGTATACCGCGATGCACAATTAGTTTAACTGGGGAAGAAATCTTAGAGTCACTTCCTTACAGCCTATTCACCTTTTAAAGGTAGAGGCTGTTTACTATAACACACGTTCACCACGGTGACCTCGTTCTCCAGAGGGGTTATCAATAGTTAAATACCCACGGTGCCTCTGTCCCGCCAATGTCCACACGAACAAGTCTGACCGTGGCGTCCTGCTGCTCTCGACCTGAGTGAGTGTGTGTTGGATATGAGCACGAGCTTCGTTATATTTTCATGACTCTCCAGGCCGGGAGACACAACACGACAACGTTAATTATTCAGCCCGCCTCGCCTAAGCGTCACGTGGCGGGCCGGGTTCACTCATACGTGAGGAAAAAAAAAAAAACATGCGAGTCGTCAGGCAGATTACAGATGTGGTCTAGACGACGGACTGGTCGGCGTGCACATCAGCATCCAGTGTGCAGACATTCCTCTTGAGTCAAAAAGTAACCACGTTATCATCAGGCCGGTCAATGAGCAACCATCTGCTTCCCGGGACTATTAACCTTTCACACTGGAAGCCACGGGTCAGTGGTCAAACAAATGACCCCTTCAGGTACCCTTACAAAGGAAAGGAAGTGAAGGAGACAAAAAAAAAACCTCTGACTGCAGCGTCTTTATGTCTCTTTTTCTTCTCTGAGACGAAAGACAAATGGAGCAGAGTCTCCTGAGAGCTGAGTCGTATTGAACGATTGGTTCTTTTAGCGTCAGTAATGTCGGCCCTAATCTCAGCTTTTATCCAAAACAAAGATTGTAATGCACCAGCTAATGGCCTTTTAGTCACAGAGGGCATCTCAGGACCATTCTGGGAAGTTTTAGTGGACACACACTCTGCAAAAACATTTCTGAACTCTCCGCTTCAACTTTCTATCGATCAAATAATGCAATGTGTCGTTTCTTATTCTGCAGTTTACTTACATCCAAACACTGCCGATAAGCAGCTGAGATTTTGGCATTTCAGAGATATCTTTTGTATTGGTGTTTATGCCTACTGATTGCACGAGACGGGAGATAGAGTCAGTCACAGGGTCGAGAGAACGGGAGGGGGGGTTGACCTGCGGTAGAATGCTGAAGGTGGGGGTCAAACCTCGGCCTTCCCGCTTTCAGGGCTTTAGCCTCTGCTGACCCTCTACTTCATCTTGAATGTGATATTTATTGCCGTGCCAAATTTAGCCGCAGTCAAAAGGGATAGGATAAAGTTCGCTCCAACTCGACACAACACAAGGAGGGTAGGGAAACGATATCCTCGCGTTTAGCTTGGTGAGCATGATGCATTATTAATTCATGATAACTGTGATATAAGTTAGGATGCTAGCTAGTTAGTTTTAGTTTAACAAAACGCTGATTTAAGGTGGCCGCAGTACCATCTATTCGACTTGAAATGAGACCAGCCTTTACTAAAAGAATCTCATGCTGTATTTAAGAAAACACAAAATGAGCCATACATCCGATAATCTTTTCTGGAAAAAGCGAATTGAGGTAACAAAGAACTGAACGTCGTGGACTCGTTTTCTAATAGATTTATTCTGCAACCAGTGCTGCTGCCCCCTGCTGGCCATTTCAAAGATGACAGCTTTAAGGTACTTCTACATTGACTATCAAGCCTGACTCATTTCCAAAACCACAGAATCTTGGGTTTCACTTTTATTATGAGTTTTAAGTATCTCATGTTCATTGTTTTTTGTTTTAAGTGATGAATGGGTTTGTTGTTCTTTCCTCTCCTCCACTCCCTGCCTTCTCTTCCACATTCCTCTGATCATATCCTTCATTTCAGCTGTCCTCCATTCAACCTCCCCCCCCTTCATCTGTTTTTAACTATTCTTCTGAGGACTCTTCTTCCCCTGCAGTCATTTTTTTTTTTCTGTTTTCGTGTCCTCCTTCTCTCTCCTCCCTGCTGCTCTTTTGTTTCACAGTCAGAATATCTCCATCTCACGCCTGCCTTTGTGTGAGCATGCGTGGGTGTTTACATAACCCCCATAAGAGCCCACTGTTTGGCCTCTTAGGTAAACAGAATGGCCATCTATCCTCGATCCAGCAGCAGATAGACCCGCTTATCTGTTCAAACACTCACGCTGCTTTGTATTACCGGTGTCAGCTCGCCTTGATTCAATCAGGCCGTGCCCAAAATCAAATCAAACCCCTGGAGGAGGATTTGGAAGCCATATTCCCACTGGTTATGGAATTTGTGGAATAATATCTCGCTTTTGGATGCAGGAACTTTGGGTAATTTCTTCACCGCTGCATGTTGGTCATATTTCAAGCTCCTGATTGAAAGCAGAAAGACAGAATGGAAATCACTTTTTAAGGCAACAGGAGCTCCGCTTTGATCTCCTGCGTCTTGCATGAGAGTAAAAGAAAAGTCATGTCGAGGCCTTTTTAAAGAAACAACGTCTTTAATCTTTCATTCGCCTGCTTGTAGTCGCACTTGTCTTTCCATCGCTGCATTGTGTGCAGTCGCCGCCGCCACGCTCCTCAGCGCGCTCTTTGTTCAAATCTGTCAGTCAACAAGCGGCTCGCCTATCAGCCGAGCAGGTCGACCACAAACAGGCAGAGTGAATGACACTTAACAGTGTGTTAAGAAGACGCTTCCTCGGCTTATCTGAGTGTGTGTGTGTGTGTGTGTGTGTGTGTGTGTGTGTGGGTGTGTTTCTGTGGTTTCCTGTGTCTTTGGGTGTGTGGTTTCAGTTTGTAGCCACCAAAAAGAGGAAGAGAGGTGATGAGGGGGAGAGGAAGTGTGCAGAGATATCAGATTGATGGTTTTAGAGGAGGAAGTAGAGGTGTTGAAGTGATGATGGTGTGTGTGTGTGTGTGGGGGGGGGGGGGTTGCTCTGCTCGTACATAACCAGCCTCCTCTACATGAAGAAAGATTCAAATAAAGGTACAAAAAATAAACATTTAAAGTTTCAAATTCTGGTGAAGGATAATCCGATGGACTCCTTCACACGGGCAGAATCCAAAGAGCGCACAAATCACTTCAGGCAAATTATAAAGATGCAATGAAGAAATGTGTCTACTCACTCTGCGTCTTCCTCAGAGTCTGAGTTTGAGCCGTCCTCCATCTGTGGAGGGGGCTGAAGCGTAACAGATTCCTTCGACTTTAAAAGTGCTACACGGTATTTTACTTGACTAAACTTGTTGAGTGGATCGGAACTGTCCGACTCAGTGAAAAGAGAATTCTGAGGGTCACCGGAGGGAGGTAGATGGTGTCGTAGGAAGAGGACGGCGTTTTATAATCACAAACAGGCAGGTGTGGTTTCAGGAAAGAGGAAGAATCACGTCTGTCATTCAGCGTCCCCCATTAAAACGCCCTCGAGCATCAGGGGACGATTTTTCAGCCCAAAGCAGGAAGTAACTCGACCACCCTGGTTACACTCACCCCCCCCCCGACCCCTCCCGCCTCGCCCCGCTGCTTCTTCAGAGCACAAGTCAGGAAGGGAGTGTTGGAGAAGAAGACGTGAATGTTGATGCTTTGGGGAAGGGAAATTCACTCACATCCTGCCCACCTGGACACGTTTCCTGAGTGTGACGGCCAATCATGTTGGCTCGTGTCAGGTCACGTCTCTCGCAGCTTCCAACGGCCTCCTATAGAGGTCTATGGAAGAAATGTGTGTGTGTGTGTGTGAGCGTAAAGAGAGAGAGAGAGAGAGAGGGAGAGAGAGAGAGAGAGACCCATCCATGTTCGGGCTTTCCCAGCCTCCCTGAGCTGAACCTCTGACCCTGAAACACATCGACAGCTGGGACGGTGACATCGGATCCGTGTTTGGGTTGTCTCTGCTTTGTCCGGCCTGCCACTGTGTGTGTGTGTGTGTGTGTGTGTGTGTGTGTGCCAGGCGCATCCACACTCTGTGGGTGGGTGTGGAGGAAGTAGAAGAGTGTGAGAAAAAGAGAGATAAGACCAGCATTACCAGTACATCTCCATCTCACAGTTTCTAACCTTTGTCTTCTGTCTGGTTTTTTTTTTTGTTCTCACAGATTTTTCACGCCAACACGGACCCGGCCGAGGTCGTCCTGAATCGAGTCCCGCAGCCGGTTTTGGCTCGGTTTGTCCGTATCCGACCGCAGACGTGGAAGAACGGCATCGCCCTGCGCTTCGAGCTCTACGGATGCCAGATAACAGGTTTGATGCGCTCATCTTTCTGCACTTTCCGTCGTTAAGCAATGAAAATATTCAGAAAATAACTGTCAAAGACTTAGCGGCAGCCAACAACAGCAGAACATCAGTAAAACCAAGTCTGCACTCAGTCACACATACATGTATATTTAGTTTCTCTCCCACTGCTCCCCTTCAAACATCACACGCCTCCAGCTAATTAAAGGAAACTTTGACGCTCTTCTTCCTTCCGCCAGTGTCGTCTCTCTCTCTTCTTCTGCGCTCTCGTTTTTCGCTCTCTGTCTCCCACAACGCCGCCTCTTTCCCCTCTCACGGCTCCAGATATCTTTTTTGATGTGTCCTCTTTGCTCCACGCTGCTCCTCTATATCGAGAAACGAGTCGCCATCAATCATTCATGGCTCCCTGTTCGCTCTTACATCAGAAACTGTGATTCGCTTCAGCCTCGACAGCTGCTATTGAAATAACTATTAGCTCTTACAGTACAGGTGCACACTCACTCTCACACACACACACAGACTGAAGCTTTCTAAAAATAGCAGATGACCTCAAAAGCAGGCGGATACGTACACAGACACCACCAGCCGGCACACACACATGCACACACTCTTCCTGATATTCATTATTTACACCTCCTGCTTTTTGCAGTGACATAACAGCATGAAACTTTGATCTGTGTTCTCTTAAACCGTCAGCACAACTAACATCTCCACATCGCTCTTCTTCCTCCTCGCTCCCCTAGTCTCGCCCTCCTTCCTCCCCTCTCACACTGTTTCCCCCTGCTGGAGGCTCATCCCTACATCATGCTCTCCTCCTTGTTTCCCAGAAGCCTCATCTGCAGCTCTTCCTCCCCCCCCCCCTTCTCTTCTTCGTCTCTGCCTCCAGACTCCTCATATTATACCTTTTTTTTTTATCCCCTTAATCCTCATTTCTCCCTCTCACTTAACTCCCTCTGCAACTTCCTCTCAATGCTACTCGCTCATCCGTATCTGAACGAGTTTCACTTCCGAGGGCTTTTTTGCATTTATGTTTAACTTCAGGCGGGGAGTATACATAAAGTGTGTGCAGCAGAGTGAGCAGACAAGCTATTGTGTGGAATATAGAGATGCAATACAGAAAAATGATGTAATTAAAAGCTACTTAAGTCGTTCTATGAGATGTAAAGTGCATGAATGCAAAGCAGGGAAGTGTCTCCATTGAAAGCAGACTTAACGTATATGCTTTTATCCCACTAATGGCACTCTAATTGCATTTTGAACATGTAACAGTGCAGCGCTCCACATCCCCCCCCCCCCCCACCCTCTCCTATCTTAACTCTTAATGCTCAGCAGCCAGTAGTGCAATCCTGTGGTGAAGCTTAACAGCTCCCATGTGGGAACGTGTGTAACACCAATGAGTATATGTTAGGTCGTCACAGAGACGTCCCCCCCCCCCGTCCACTCACCCTGCAGCTGGAGGTTAAAAGTTATCTCCGCTCTCCTCTCCAGATGCTCCGTGCTCAGACCTGCAGGGCCTGCTGTCCGGCCTGCTCCCCGACGCGCAGATCTCCGCCTCCTCCAGCAGGGACGTGGTGTGGAGTCCTGGCACCGCCCGTCTGGTGGCGAGCCGCTCGGGCTGGTTCCCGGCGCCTGCACAGCCCCTGGCGGGAGAGGAGTGGCTCCAGGTAAAGACAGATTGTAAATGCATGAAGTGTACCTTTTTGATAACGTCTCTCTTCAATCAGACCCTGAAAGAGAACACTTTTAATGGATGCAGTTTGATCTGATGCTTTTGCAGCTGAAGATTAAGTTGCAGCCATTACTTCCTTTTCAATAGCAGCAGGCTGAGATGATCTTTGCAGCCAGCTTTTCTTTTATAATTAGTCATTTATAAGAAGAATGTGCCAAACTCGCTGTGTTCAAAGCTTCAGTTAATGTTCGACATTAGCACACAACTCGTGCCTTAATGGCCCTTTTGTGTAACGTGAGAAGTGTGCAAAACAAAAAGCTCATTCCCTGGCTCTGGTTGAGGGTAATTGTTGTGACTTCACCGGTGAGAAGGTCTTGTTGATATTTTGCAACAAGTCGAACCTTCAAACTCTGTCCTCCACATGTTGCCTTTAAAGCTCCCAGAGGCAAACAAGCGAGAACAAGAAGCACAGCTGCAATTAAACAAATCCACATGGTGTTGTGTGCAGAGAGCATTTATTTATCTAAATCTGTTCTCTCCAGGTGGACCTCGGCGTGCCAAAGACTGTGCGCGGTGTGATCACACAGGGAGCGAGGGGAGGGGACGCAGGAAGCGGGGCGACCACGGATAACCGGGCGTTTGTCAGGAAGTACAAAGTGGCACACAGCCTGAACACAAAAGACTGGAATTTTATCATGGACCCCAAGACGAGCCTGCCCAAAGTGAGAGAGAGGAAGACGTTTGTGTAAATAGTGTGTTTTAACGATAACTTAAAGTGTAAATAACCTTTAACGTGTGTTTGGTGCAGACGTTTGAGGGGAACACACACTACGACACCCCAGAGCTGCGTCATTTCGAGGAGACAGTGGCGCAGTACGTGCGGCTGTATCCTGAGCGCTGGTCTCCTGCAGGGATCGGGATGAGAGTGGAGATTCTGGGCTGCGACCTTCCAGGTAGGACGTCTCTGCAGCTGTTGCTTATATGACAGTTTATATATGATAATTTGCTTCATGCTCTATCCCTGGCTGAATTATTTGCCCCCGAAGTCTAATGAACTGAACATTAAGCAGAATTGAATGGACCTTGAGGAAGGAGGCTCGCATTAGATATGCATGAGAGTCATTAGAGCCTCTGCCAGAGGTGAAAAGAGACGTCGAGTGAAGAGAAAGCAGAGGAATGTTGTGATTTAGACTTTCTGAGATTAGTTCACCTGGAAAATATGAGCGAGGCTTTTTGTGAACTTCTACAACAAATGTGACCGTCAGCAGGGGTTGGAAAGGGTTTGGTTTAAAAGAATGCATCCCCAGAGAGAGAGAGAGAGAGAGAGAGAGAGAGAGAGAGAGAGAGAGAGAGAGAGAGAGAGAGGATTGGTTTGTTCGCTTTCCAGCTCGGTCTGTTATCCAGATGTGAGGAAGTGCAGCAGAAACACACACACACACACACGTATGTGGACTCTCACTGTTTACCACTCCCTCTGTGCCTGAACAGGATGACGGGCTGTGCAGCACAACACACACACACACACACACACACACACACACACACACACACACACACACACACACACACACACACACACACACACACTGCTGTAATCACACCACTATAAACACAAGCTACACTCCGGCTTCATCGCTGTGATTGATGTGTTTGTGTGTCTGTATATAAGTGCTGATGAAGTGCACCGCTTTCTAGCAGGAGAGGAATTTAATATTAAGAAGAGCACATCAGCATTACGGCTTTAACCACTTTATCTAGAGGACAGAGTCAGGAAAAAAAAGGAAACACAGTGATATAAACCCCACGCTAACATGCTACTGAAAGCACAAATCATGCCCAAAGTACAACTAATGTTAAAAGAATGACTTTGAATCGACCTGCAATTAGTGTGTGGTGCTTCACACTGACACAATAATCTGTTCTGCTGAGGACTGAGCCCACCTGAAGGGTTTTGGGGATACTTTGGCTTCACTTTGGTACAACGGGAGGAGGTTGTCCATTTGTATATACAGATAATGTTTTATACTTTGCTTCTTCGCAATGAATATTTTTCCAGTTAAAGCCCTTTTTGAAATCACGCACAAGTGAGTGAACTAAAGTTTAAGAAGAGGTTTACTATTGATATAAAGACGTAACATGGTTTTAGTTTAATGGGTCTAATTTGTTTAAAACACAAAGTAATGAAGTGATATTCTCTGTCTGGGAATGAGTGTTTCAGTTTACGTGCAGCTCATGAAAGCGTTTACTCTTGCCGTTAGAAAACACGTGTCACATATGTGTTTGCTATTTTCTCCCAAGAAACATCCCGTACCGATCACAGGGAAACGATGTGTTTTGCATTTGCCGTTTGTTTGACGACTAAACTTTGGGGAGGTGCCGTGCAGAAACACAACAACAATGAAGCCCAAAAGATGGCGACAAAATGGAAACACACAAACCTCAGAGTCAGGGATTACCTCTTTTTGTTGCCTGGGATTTTTTTTTATCAGATGTAGAGGAGAGTTTCTTTGGGGACGTGGCACAAAAAACCCACTGTGGAGGGGCACACATTGTTCACAGGCATCCCAAAACTCAGCAGGAACGGAGAACTACTGCTGACATTCTGTAAATCATTCACTTCCCTTCTCACTCAAACTCCTCACGTCCTCTTTCCTGTCTTCTCTTAAGCCCTCTTTTCTCAGTTTTATGCTCCAGGCTGATGAAATCGGCACATTTTTTTCCACCAAAATCTTGCCGAGCTCATTTTAATCACTGCAGCAGCAGCAGCAGCAGCAGCCACAGCGAGGCAGAATAAGGTCTCTCTCCTCGTTCCTACACATGGTTGCAGTTCTGTCTTTTCCCACCCTGAGGCCCGGTGCGCGGGTCCGTAAATGTTTCTGTTCTTTTCTTTCCTAACCATGCCTCCTCCTCTCCTCTTTCCTCTCTTACTCGTCACCTCTTTTCCCTGACACACAGGCACACACTCACACCTCGACAGTGACAGTTTTTTCGTAGTACACCTGCTACAAAAAATGAAAAATGTATGAGCTCAGGATTTTAAGAGACTCATCTGTGGGGGGAAAAAATGCAAAATATTATCTCTGCCTCCTTCCAGGAAGTCTCATTGGAGTCTCAGGTGCACAGTACACTGCAGAGCTCACTCATGCACGTACACACCTGTAATGTAAACCTCAGGTGTGTCTGCTTCACACTGTCTTTAACGTCTCACTAAATACACTAAAGCTAAGTATCCCCTCCTGATTTAAGATTTTCAAAGAAGCTCTTCATGTCACTGTCTCCGCTCTCCACAATATGTCGTCCTCAACGAGAGAGTCTGTGTACATAAAACATTTTCCCATAACAGTTTTTCAGTCCTGCAACTAATTCCAAAAATGTAATTTCAAGTATTGATCTGTAGAATAGAAAAGAAAACACATGATTGGTGAAACCGACCTGAAGAAGAGAATATGTGTACAGACGAGCTGATGTATCCGAGTATAATTTACATGACGTTTGACCATGATACGTGTTGGGTGGATGTGATGTTACGGTTCGTCAAGAGGCTTTAAACCCGCCTCAGCTCTCAGCCTGTCGTTAGGTTGACTGAAAGTTAGGTTGAGACAGCATTTCCAACATGGCGGCTGCTGCAGGCGAGCCTCCAGAGCCGCCTGCAGGAACAGATGGCTGACGTCACTCAGGCTTAATCCATTAAATATTAACAGTCAATGGTAACATCCAGTGTTTCCACGGCAATGATGGACATTCTGTCTGACATGCCACGAGAAGACACGTCCCGTTACACCTATATCATTAAGAATTTTATCTTGCTTTGATAACTTTTGGAAATTTTTGAGGTAATGTAAGTACTAAAACAAATCTATAATATAGTTTAGTCTAGTCTGTATACATTTGTGATCTAAAATCAACTGAGGCAACTCAAAGTGCTTAAAGGGAGTAAGCCGATCCCAGGCTGAATCAGACGTATTTCTGATTCTGAGATCGGTATTTGAAGAAGTCTTATCATGGCTGATCCTTGATATGAAGCACTTAACCCCACTCAGCAGAACATCAAACAAAGGCTGCTTGTCTTTCCCATCATGTTCTTTTGGGGGAGTACGTGTGTGGACGTGCACGGATGAATCGATCCACCAGCGTGTGTGCTAGTAGGACTGCCAAGTAGAGATTTACAGAAAGGCTTTCTACATAATTGCAGGTTGTTTTTTTTTTTCCCCTTCTCTGACATACTGCTGAGTCAGATTCTTCAGGAGTGAGCGGGGAGGGTTGGCCCTTTGCTGCCCTGTGCAGGCGTATGTTTGGGTGTCTGTTATAAAACAAGCGTACAAAAGCATTTATCTGTGTATTTGTGTGTGTGTGTGTGTGTGTGTGTGTGTGTGTGTGTTTGCGCAGCAGCAATGTGAGTGTGCGTCAACATTATCTATGCCAGCAGCTCCCCTGGGTCCAGCTCTAAGTGATGGTGTCTCATCCCCTGCATGATGATGACTTGCATCATCACCTGCAGCAGTAGACACATTATGTAAGGCAACACTCTGCTGCAGAGGGACTTTTCCTGCATTGCAAGGCCTCTGCTGTGCAAATATATATATATATATATATATATATATATATATTAATATAAAGGCCTGTCGATGCAGACCTGCCCTCCTCGTGCAGCTCTGCCACACAGCCTGCACACATGTCAAGGACACGGCTCGGGGCGGTTTAGGTGGGTTGCATACGTTTGCACATGAGCCCCTCTCAATCGCACATAAACACACACACCCAATGAGTCGTATTCTCATGGCCCCCGACACTCCTGTCACACCCTGGAAAGGTCAGCGCATTTACACTGTGACAGGGCCTGACCTTTGAAAGCATGCAGTGCTCAGGAGCTGGATTGAATCTTAATGGACTTTACGTGTGTGTGTGTGTGTGTGTGTGAGTGTGTGTGTTACTGGTGCACAGGTAATGTGGTTTATTTTGACGCTTGTTCCCCAGACTTAAAGGGTCATTTTGGTATTTTAAAACCTGGAAATTCTTATTGAACATTTCTGGAAACTGAATGTGTGATAGGTACAAAAGGTTTCTCCGTCCGATCACACAAACTGTGACGGCTGCGACGTGATCTGTTGGGGCTAATGCGCTTAATCAAAGTATGTAAAGTGAGAAGCAGAGATTTGTAGTTAATGCTGTCCTTCAAGGTCAGATCATTTTTTGACCAGAAAGAGCCATTATCATAGCTTTCTTTAAAGCCACCAGACTCCATTTACAAAAACAACAATTTAACCAGGACGGGAGTTTCTACTTCTGCATTCATCGGTTTGTTTCTTTGTGTTTTTGTGTTGTGCGGGAAACCAGCTAACACCAGAATAACTCAACAGTACTAAGAAATGATCTGATGAAGTCGTTAGTTAACGTGAAGCTCTCGAGTACTGAGAGGTTAAAATCGCTCTTTTTTTTAAACAACCACAAAACTTTAAGCATCATTTATGTAACAGTAGTGCCTGGTGTTATCAATACCTGAAAGCCTTTTTATCTGGAAGATCCGACGGCTTGACTGAAATAAATCAACACACTCAGAGAGTGAAGAAGAAGAGTAAGACATGCACGTCTTGCATTTGAATATTTGGAAGAAGAGAGGTTTGAGTTTGCTTTCCGTGCCTCACCGTCCCGTCGGGCTCGCAGCGATAAGAGTCTCATTAGTTCGTTAACGACAGGCATAAAGGACGTGACATTAACGCCTGGTTAATGTCAGAAACCGTCACCAGCTGTGGCCCGCTCCTTTCATGTGTGCCATTTCTCCAGCTGTGGCGTCGTGGAGCTTGTTTCCACGGGAAGTTCCTGCTTGCGGATCAATTGTGTATCACGCGGCGTTTGTTGCTCTTAGTGCCTTTCATACTCTTTAAATGATAACGGTGGTCATGAAGAAAGAGCTGCAGAGTGGAGTGTGGAGATGAGTCTGTGTGACCTTTTTTTTCATGTTTGCATCTTTTTATTCCACTTAATGAGCTTTGTCAGACTCATTTCAGTGGTCAAAATGTCTGTAAATAAGGAAAAGAGGCCAAAAGAACTGGGGTAACATGTTGATCATGACTTATTGCAATCATCACTCAGGCATATCGAGCTTCCACAGTTTCTACACGTGATTAATGAGATTTTTTGGGGTTTTTTTTGTACGTGACCCAAACCTCTGTGTAAACTCTGATCTAACGGCAGCATTGACCCATCTGCTCCTAATAACACAGCCCGTTCTCCCACTCCACATTCCTGCAGCAGCCTGCTCCACATGTGTCTGTTTGTGCACACGTGTTGTGTTTTAATGAGCAAATTGTTGGCTTATACGTGCATCTGTGTGGCGTTTTAGAGCCTTTTTTTCTGATATATGTGAGTTGAAATGGAAGTTAAGTGCAGAGAGGCGATGCGTGAGAGAGTGCACAACACACACAATAGCTCACACATGCACATGAAGTGTGTACAGGGTGTGTGTGTGTGTGTGTCTGTGTGTGCTTTCTGACAGCCAATGAGCTGTTCCCAGAGTGTGATCATCTCGTCCAAGGTCGAAGGGACACATCCATCCATCAGCTTTAGCTCAGGCCTTCTGCATACATGCATGTGTGTGAGACTGTGTGTGTGTTAGCATTTGAACTTGGAGAGACTCTGACGCCTGAGCACCCAGACACAACATGACAGGGGCCTCCTTTGGGTGTTCTCGGGCTATCTGTGCCTGCCTCTCGTCTCTGACTCTGTGGGTGGGATGAGCAAACAGAGACTGGAGAGTTAGAGTGGACGATGACCTCACACTCAAATGATATACATGCACTGGTATGCACATTATACTTCAAAAAGCTGCTTATCTGCTGATTAATGGTTCAACCTGACGGAAAGCAGTAGCTTCAAGCTTTGATTTCCTGTTTTTAAACATCCTCCTCTCTTTGCTTTTCAAGTGAACCTGAACTTGTATTTGCAGCAAACATTATCTGAAGGGCACAGCAATGAAATGTTGGAAATGTTTGTTTTTTTTAGGGGAATAAGCGCCAGACGACTTCTATGACTGGACAACCAGTCGACAATCTGAGAAGTTATTAGTCCCTGTTAAAGAACGGCATCTTTAATTTCTGTATGACTAAACCAACAAAAGAGTTTTAGAGGCAGGAAGAAGATTTATATTTACTGTATATTGCATTTTCACAATAAAGCAGAGAGAGGTCAAGAATTAAGTTTAACCTTGGAGAACAAAGTTTGTGAGAATGTCTAGAACAGTTTCAGATGTCTAGAACAAAACTAACATGTTGAGAGAAAAGCTCAAATGCAGAGAGTAGAGTCCAAATGTTGGAGAAGGAAGTGGTGATGTTTAGGAAAGAATCCACACTTTGAGATGGAAGCCAAAATGTTGAAAATAAACGTTGAGTTTTAGGACGAGGTCAAACCTTTGTGACATTTAGACTTCAGTTTAGAAAATGCTCATTTCTCTCTTATTCCTGCAGCACTTCATACTGATTTGTATTAAATCAAATGACATAAATCAAGTGAATTTCCTGAGTTTTAGATCTGGTGAGCGGCTGATCTTTATCTTTTCCCACAGAGCCGTGTTTCTGTTTCCCAGGTTTCATGTTCACTGTGTTTTTAGAACGGCCTTACAGACGTATCGGTTTCAGACTTTCATCAAAAGAAAGAAACATTTCTCTTTTTCCTCTTTGTAGAAGTTATGTTGTATTTATTTCTGTAAGCTGCTTCCTTTGCTATCTGGATCTTGGGAATAAAGGGCAGAACGTGCAGACGCTCTTTAAAGACACTTCACCTAATTACTTTCTGTTTTCTTTCTGCACGCCGTGTCTTATCGCTTCCTCTCACATCTGTGTTTCCTGACCCGGCCGAGGAGAAACTCCCCATCAGTAATCTGTAGAACAAACACAGGCTGATGAATGTATCCTCTTTACACTAATGTAATGTCTGATGATTGTTTCATACTTTCACCTCTGACCTACTTGTTCTGTTTGTGTCTGCAGAGATGACCACGCCCGCCGACACCGTCACGCCAACACTGCCTGCTGACACTGAGACCACCACGGTCCCTGTGACGACTGCAGGTAAGAGAGAGGATTAATAGAGTTATTAAGAGGAAAGCTTGTGAAAGGCTTTATTGAGAGCAGCTGCGAATGCTTCTCTTCACGCCTTTTGGCCCTCGCTCTGATGCGTCTCTTCTCTTCTCGCTGCTCTCCACCTCTCCCAGCAGCCACGTCTCCTCCGGCAGACACCGTGTGTGACTTTGACCACGGCCTGTGTGGGTGGACGCACGACCCCAACGCCCCCCTCCTCTGGTCTCTGCACAGCCACGGTGAGTCTCCTCATCAGTCATGTGAAAAGTGGGCATGAGTCTGTCGGCTGTCTGGTCAGCAGAGGGACTTCTCTTTCCAGTCACAAACATTTGATGGACAGAAAGCTGCAGGGTGTTTTGAGTCTGTTCACAATGAGTCCGTCATTAAAGAGGCTTGTAAACCTGGGCGCTAGCTTTACATGTTTTAGGGCCTTCACGTTTTGCAAATTGTTCTCGTAGTCTGGAAAGGACCATCACAAACTATACCCACTTTAGATTTTTTGATTTTGATTTAACCGTCTCACGACATTAAGATGATAGAAATTAAGCTCAAATAAGATCCTTTTTTTAAACTTAAAGTGTCTGTTACGATTCTTCAAAGCAAACAGATTCTCCTGACAGAAACATCAGATCATTTGACCTCCCAGAAAACGAGGCTGCGGCTCGAAGTGAGTTTTGTTTGTTGACTCCATTCGCTTTTTCATCTGCAGAATGTTTGTTGCCGAGCTTTGGGTGTACGCGGCTGCAGGATAACGTCATTAAGGACGAGATAATTGCAGAGCACAAACGCATTCGGTTTATTTTATCAACTTCACTGGGTCTGGAAGCGATGCATTGTTTTCTATAATTAAATGGAGTCATTCTCCGTGTGCGTCTTCATTCAGTCCGTTTTCAATTTGATTAAAATAATTCCTTAAATTGAAAGCGCTCTCATTTAGCGACCACGGCCTCGCCTGCCAGTCGGCGACGGCGCTTTCTCTCTCTGAGTGTGCAAAGAGAGAGCCCGCTGTGGTGTCGAGCTCATACAGCTTCAAATGTCAGACATGTGACATTCAGCACGCTTCTCCTCGCTCGCCTCTGTGTGTCACGCCTTGGCACGAAAGGGTTAAAGCCCTGGAGCTCCAATTAAGTTGAACGTAGGAGACTCTGAAGACTGGCGGTTATTTCCAGCCGTTCCGTTCCTGCCCCTCTGTAAGCTCAGGCACATCCCAGACGATGCTGTGGAGACTTCCATGTACTCATTCACTCCTTGAAGAATAATTATTCATTTTCTTAATGCAGATCAAAAGTGGTGTGTTCTGAAAAGCTGTGGAAGAAATGTCCTGCTGGGTTTAGAGGTTTTTTTTATAGCTCTGTTTATAATCTTTCAGGTTGAAGGGATGTCTGTTCACCAAACGTTGTTCTAGGAGAAAGTTTGCATGAAAGATTCAGCGATTCTGCAGCTGGAGAGAATTAAAGAGTTTGGGCAGGTTTGTGATGTCACCTGGGTCGGGTTGAGGAGAAGTTTTCCTGACCTATTTTGGTCATAAGCGTCTCTGACAGAGGGCTTCAAAGCAGCGTCTTTCATCACGGCCGGATTGGAAAGGGTTGCTTAGATTAGTCGGGTTGTGGTGTTCATGTGCGGAGTATCGCATGAAGCCGTTTTGGCACGCAGCACCGCCCTTTGATTCTCCTGCACAGGTCAAAGATCAGAAATCCCAGCCGACACAGGATCATTATTTCACTGCTATCAAATCACTCTTTAATCCTCGGTAGGATTCCTTTTCTGTGTGACCCAGAAACAGTGACCTCCTGACCTCCTGACCTCGGCCATGATGCTGGTAATTAGGCACAGGCATGGAATTAGCCACTGTTTACTGGATTATTTGGGTTAATATCCCCCCGCTAGTAATCGAGCGTTAACTAGGCTTCATAGAAAGAATCCTTGTTTGCCTCTCACTGCAGGAGACTGCTGTGAAATGGATTAATAATGCTCTGTTGTGCTGCGTCCGCGAGGCAGCCTCCATTATGAGCTGTCTGGCGAACAAGAGGCGCAGCGACGGGGGGTTCGCTGCGAGAGGCCGCACTGCAACACGAGGCGGCGGAGGCATTACAAAATGAGTGATGAAACACCTCGCAGAGTCACAAATATGTTTCACTCGCACATCCTCTCTCAGGGCGCGCACACACACACACATGCAGGAAAAACAACCCCTCAAAAAAGTTGCATTTGCAGCGCGGGTGAGTTCCCACACACACACACACACTCACTGCGGAGCTGCGAAGGGCCAAGGGACACACTGTCACACACACTGTCTGAAGTGTCACACACAGGCGAGTCTGGGCGTATGGCGGGCAGAGGGGAGCTGTCAAGTCGCGGTGAAGATTCGTCCCTCCAGATACTGCTTGTCGGATCTGCTGGAGGGAGCGCACACAAAAGCGAGCTCAGCGAAAGGTTATCGACCCAGTCGGTCAATAACAGGAGCACAGCTGCCCTGAAACACACGCTTACTGTAAAACACTGTAAGGAGCTCTAGAGAAGAAGCAGATGTTCAGGTCCCGCTCCAACACTTTTTTTTCCAAACAGGTTTTCTGTTAAACATTTTGTCTGGAACAGAAACGGGGGAGTGTTTAAAGTCAGGTGTTACAGCGGGGTCCTACTCGATGCCATGAAAGGTTGAATCGTTTTGCTCAAATCGTCGTCTTCCATTTTTTTGCAACGCGTTCCAAACATGTAGCTATTAAAATGTTAAGTGTCATTGAGTGTCTCACGACTCGATTGAGAATCTTTTTTTGCGATTCAAAATGATTCAAAGTCTGTTTTTGAATGAGTCCACACTTCAGGATCTACTCCAGTCGTCTGTGAGACTTCTTGCTGCTCCGTTTGGCGTTGAACTGAGTTAAAGATCTAGCATTAGCACTCGATTTTAGGAAGTTATGAATCTATTCAAAATCTCGTTTTTTTTTTTCCCCCCCATATCTAGTAAATATGGCAACTTGTCTTCTTTTTTAAAGTCACGTTAACCACAAACAAGCGCTCTGTCACTAACATACATTTAGGTAAAGGACTTACACAGCACCGAGGTGGATTGGTAGCTGGTTATCTTCCACAGGTGTAGAGGCCTGGTGGGACTTCCTGTCTCTCTTTTCAGTAATATATAACAAGTGTCTCACACCAAAACTAAAACAGAAGAAGGGCCACGACTACCTTTAAAGTAAAGTTTGTAAACTCTTCAGTAAAGGAGTAGGATTGGCAGGGACCACGACACTAAATATAAGATTTATTTCATGTCTGAGCGGGAAATGCTTCCACAAAAATAGCAATAAAGACCGCTTTCAATTCTTCTTTTTTGGATCTTTTAACAGTTTGTGACTCGACCGAGTGAGCAGCTCAGTTACAAACTGTTTTTGCTCCAAAGTTTGATGACACATGAAAAAACGGGGAAGGTCTGACTGCAATTATAAAAACTGACACCCCCTGATGCTCAGAGCGTCCTCTCAGGCACAAACACACAAGCTATCCGCACAAGAAACAATCTGTTACTCAGCAAATGGCTTCAGTCACAGAGTTCAAAGAAGCTCGAGGACATCTGAGGGTAGCTCTGACGCTATTAAATACACAAAGTATTATTTACTTGAACCTAAATTCATTATTATTACGGCTGTGAAGTTGTGTGACAGGTGGAGTTAATTACCTCGACCTAGATCCCCGGTGACATCCGATCATGACCGAGCATCTGCACAAGGTCAGAGTGCGACCAATGAGCTTCTACGAGAGGCGAGCATCATCATTCAGCTTCCAGGTTTAAACTCTGAGCACAAAAGAAAGACAGAACAGGATAAAAAAATACAAAATAAAGCTGAGTCGGGATTCTAAGACAAACTTTATGCAGCTAGGAAACAAAAAATATGAGACATTCACACACATCCTGAAAAACACCTGAATGCTCTGAATTGCTTCTGACTTCTTTCACTGCTCGTGAGAAAGAAAAGCATGTATTCACACACACGCACGCACGCACGCACGCACACGCACACGCACACGCACACGCACACACAGTTGTCCATGATAAAGCAGGTGATTTAATCTGCAGATTGTTGATACTGGATTTTTTTCCCACAAGGCCCACTTAAGAAATTCTTCAGCAGACGCCTCACACACACACATGCACAGACTCACACACAGACACACACACACACGTACATACTGTGGACTCACCAATCTTATTCTCTCACAATGGAATTCATGTCGGCATCCAATTTTCAAACTAAACATCCTCTGGTGTAAACAAATGGAGTGGCGTGCGTTTTGTTGCACTTTTCCGCTGTTGAAGTCACCTGGGACGGGGGGGGCAGGAGGAGGGGGGTGAAGAGAAATAGGCATAGAGGGTCTTGTTGGCTGGAGTTCTTGTAGCACGCCGTGTACGAGCAAGGTACCTATTCTTCTGCGTGTTTATGTTTGTCATATCCTCTATTGTTTGGAGTGACTATTGTGTTGGTAGTGATTTGGTTCCTGTCTGCATCTGGTCATTAGTTTCTTTTTCTGTTCGTGAGTCATGTTGGGGATATCTGTAATTGTGTGAAAACACATACTGTATGTGTGCACGAGTCTGTCTGCATGTACGAGCACTGGTGATTAATGATCATAACTGTGCGGCCACACAGAATCCGTACGTGCTCCACAAAGTCATTCCAGCAGCATCCGTTCACAGCGGATATCAAAAGTCTGTACAGATGTTCAGATTCAGAGTTTTTAACTCCTCCAGGGATAAATGAAAAAACCCATTAAATCTGACTTTTTTCACTTTCATTTGACTCGTGCAACCAGCAAAACTCAAGGTTAAAACAAAAGCTCTGCTCGTTTTGTTAGAATTACTCAAACAGCTTGGTTGCATATTGTTGCCGTGAAGTTCTCCCATGCCTCCCTTCTCTGGCTTCACTCGATACTCTGTGCTCTTAACTCCAGTTTTTTTTTTATGTAATACAAAAGTTTTAAAAGCAGATTTGTACAAATTCAAGTCTTTCAGATGCCGGTGCATGCACAGGATGTGAGCTGTTATAAGCATAGAGATTTTAGGACTCAAAGGTTCATAAAGCGAGGTGCAATGTGTCTGTAAAATCCTGGTACATGTCTTTAAGAAACAGTGACCTGTGTGGCGTTTGTCTTGAGATATGGACTCTACGTTGACTTTAAATTTCAGTCATTTAACACACACTCGTCCTCATGTGTCTTCTTATCTCCTCCCCTCCAGAGCTCAACAGTTATCTGTACATGGACGCCAGCCTGAAGACGGAGCAGCAGCAGGCCCGGCTGGTCAGCCCTGTTGTTGCCGCCGACACAGGGCCGCTCTGCCTCCTCTTCTTCTACCAGCTGTCTGGCGAGGCTCAGGGCCACCTAAAGGTCCTGCTGCGGGACAACCACAACGAGGAGACCGTAGTGTGGACGCTCAAAGACGATCAGGGTCCTGTGTGGAAGGAGGGTCGAACCATACTGCCTCGCTCCCCCAAAGACTTCCAGGTAATAAAACCACTTTTTCGTCACTGGTTTGAAAAAGTGCAAATGCTGAAGACGCTCGTGGCCAATATCAGCGAGCTTTATTAAAGTGTGTCTGTGATAAATCTGGGTCAGACCCTTTATTATACGTCTCCCCAGACAGACAAACATATCTTTAATGTCTTTATCAGAGTTGAAAAGGAGAGATGCGCTCCCCTGTGAGCTTATGAAAGCTTCAGTTTTAACCTCTCTGTCACCTTAGGCCAGGTTTGACTTCAAAAGCAGCCAAAGTAAGCCACGTAGTCTCTGTTGGGTATGTGATTGTTTGGCGCATTTGTCAGAGACATCACAAGCAGTTAACGTTCTCATGAAAAAGTAAGTTGGAAGTGAAGAAGCTTGCAGAGACAGGGAGGAAGATTGCAAGTGTTGAGTGCAACTTTGAAATCACAGGAACTGTATTAAGTTTTCATCATCTTTCTCCTCCTCCTCTTGCTTGTCCTCGTTTTCAATTTGCCTCCTCCCCGCTGCTCCCACGTGCCTTCATCCTGTGCGTCTTCCTCCTCCGCTCTTCTGGCTGTCGTAGGTGGTGATGGAGGGTTTCTTTGTGCACGGCACCAGAGGACACATCTGGATCGACAACATCCACATGAGCTCCAGCATCCCTCTGAAAGAGTGTACACGTAAGTCACAAACGTCTCATTCATGCATTTCTAAGGATAGCTATGACAGAGAGAGCCCAGAGTTTGTCAATGCAGAATAAAGAAAAGAGGCATCCATTTGACCGACCAGCTCCCTCTTATCCCATGTCAACTGTCTCACCTCGTCATCTCCCCCTCCATCAATCTGCTCTCCGTCCCCCCCCCCCCCCCCTCCACTTTTAGCCCTAAGGTCCTTGAACAGTGACACACATGAAGTGATAAACATCCCAAATCCTCCCTCCACTCCCACCCCAGTTTCCAAGACAGCCTCTCCTCCTCGCCAAAGAGCCCACCGAACACGGAGATGAAAGGAGGAAGGAGAGGGAGGGACAGCGTTTATTCCGCCGCAAAATAAGAAAAGAATAAGAATAGTAAAAGTAGGCCATAAACGCCCTGTGGGCCTCGCCGATGCTAATCTATGTTTCATTAGATTCCTCTTCTTCTCTTTGTCTCTCCTGCACTCTCTCCTCTGTCGTATTTGTAAACAGAGCTTTTCTCGAGCCGTCAAAGGGAATTACTAGACAGGCTGTTTCCCAAGCAACTTTCTGGATGCCTGTTTGGTGTGAGCCAGCGCCAGCAGAGCCGCCTTAATCTGGCCCGAGCAGGGGCTTTGGAGAGGGTCTTAAACAGATCAGAGAGCGAGCCGGGGGGTTCAGAGCCAAAAACCTGCCGTCATCACTGCTGATTGACGTCCATGGTGCAGGGGAGAACAGGAAGAGTGTAATTTATGGAAAGTGTGTGGGTGCAAAGTGTTTCTGCACTTCAGTTTTAGGTGTGTGTCATGAGAGTCTCAGAAGCACAGCAGCTTGGATGGCAAACATGTGAGCCCAGCCCTCTCCTCCTCCCGCCTCCACGCTGCTGCTGCTGCTGTGTTTCCTCCACCCTCCCCCTCCCTCGCCACTCCCAGAGCATTCTGGGATGTTGCTTATCACCCGACGCAGTTGAGTTTTTGCACAGTACGTTGGCGTTAACGCCAAAAGGCGCCAGTTCCCACATCGGTTTCCGTCTTTCTAACACACACACACACTCAAAGTCTTTGTGTTTGCATTCCAGGCAATCAAAGTGAAGGTTCTGCTCTGTGCATTTGCAGCAAGCCAACACCCCCCGCCACCACCAGTTCAACTGGACTGCGCTGATAAACAACTTGAAATGCATGAACTTTGTGAACATACACGTCGCACAGTCCATCTCAAATTCCCAGCTCACACAATGCACTCTGTTTGAAATTGCATTTTAGCAAAGGAGCCGAGCAAATGCCATAACTCATGTGAGCTATCTGAGGAATTAAGTGAAATTTCCTCAGGAGGAGTTTGATAGTCTTGTGACATTTCTGTGACATTTGGCTGACTTTTTCTCTCCTATTTAAAGTAATCTAACAGACTCTCCCTCTCTCTCTCTCTATCCCTCCCGTCTCTGTGTCTGCCTCACTCTCTCTGTCCTCACAGAACCCTTCACGGCATTTCCTCCTGAAAACCCAGGTGAGTCTCACTTCATGATGTCACTTCCTCTCTGGTCTTGCTTCCTTGCCCGTTGATATGCACTAGCCTGGGGTTGTTTTGCTTGGTCGCACTTAGTCGTCTAAACCGCTGAGCAATCGGCCCGAAGCAGCGACGACACACATGCTGAGTCTGCTCGGGCTGTGTTTCAGATTAATTAAAAATGCATTCATGTTTAAATCGAGTGACTCATCGTAAAGTCAGCAGCATGAAAACATCCCCAAAACAAAAATGTAACCCCCGACTAAAATCTGCATCAGCGGTTCCCAGAAATGGTCAGAACACGTTTCTCCAGTTGTCCCTGAGATGTTACTGTTAATAAGTTATTTAAGCATCATTTGATTAGCTTTGCATCGTCATATCAGCGCACAATAAACCTCGAGAAGTCTTTTTCTCATTTCAGCTCAAAATATTCTCCAGCAACAGGTTTATTTTTAACTCTTAAAATTGAAATTAGTCTCAAATATTCCATAGTGCCGACGTTTTCATTGAATTAGATATTTCCGTATTACAGCTAAATTAATTAATAAGTTCAGGTCTGTATTGTCAAACCTTTAGCATGGCTTGCTCACCATCGGCAGTATATTTTCCACAGTTTGGTACTCACTGATCTTAATTACTGAATTTGCAAATACATTTTCTCAAATTCTATTATAGTCATAAAATAAATGATTTCAGTAATGTGTTACGGTGCATTAGTTTTCCCCTCGTCAGTCTCGGTGGAAACAATGCATTAGTCTCAAAAGAGCAAACTGTGTGCAAGGCAAGCTAAATCAAGCACACCTTATGGAGTCAGATATTTGAAAAGAGCTACATATCCTCACTTTTATGCTTCCTGACGCAGCCTGGAGGGTTTTAAATAACTGTCTGCCTCATGAAAAATATTTAGAGCATCCTGGGAGACTCTATGAGATTGATGTTAGTGTTTTGGCATCTCATAATGTCTCCCAATAAGATAAGAGCTCGGCGGTTTCAGTGCGAATGTGATGTGTGTGCACTTCTTTGGCTTTTCCACTCCTCCGCCTTCACATACACAAACCTGCACAGAGTCTCTAACCCTTGACAAACATGCACAAATACACACATTGATATGGACACACACACACACACACAGTGTCCCCAGTGAAAAGCAATCAGATAGAGTGACTGAGCAGCGACAAGCACGGGTGTCTCTCTCTCTCTCTCCACTCCCCAGCTCAGCTCTGTCTAATGAGTGTGTGCAGTGTGAAGTAGCAGCAGTAGCACGCACCATTTCACTCTGTAATTATGTGACACGGTCCAAAAATCTGAATGTATTCAGCTCTGCCTCACTTTCACTAGATCAGTTTGACTTTCTCACAGTCTTAACAACTCTCCCTATCAGGTGTGGATGGTACATGTGGGCTTTATTTGATGTCCTCAGGGGTTCGTTTTTGCATAGCCGATTTGGAGAGTCGAGTAGAGGCTTCTTGGAAGGTGCTTAGTCGGTTCTTACCAAGAATTTGAGAAGGGGGTTCAAGCCAGGGGCAGCAGTGTAGAGGATCTGAGGAGATAGTCTCCAAGGAGACAGGAGCTTGGCTTGAGGAGGAGAGGACTGGCCAGGAGGCTGCTGCATGAGCGAGAAGGAAAAAATGAGAAACAGAAGAACAGAGAGCAGGATAAATTATGTACTCAAAACAAATCTGCCAACCAGAGCCAGCTAAATAACAAATCCCCATCCAATATGGGCTCAGTGAGAGCTCTGGAACATCGGATTCTCATGTGGTGTCCGACTGATTCTTGCATGGTTCTGAGACGCTATCAGGGGGCTGTTTGAGCTCGCTGTGCCAGTGCGAAACAGGGAGAGGAAGCACCATAATTCGATGTGTGTGGGTGCTTTTATAACTAATAATTTTGGCTTCAGTTTCACACCAAGTTATTTTCATTGGAGCTTAGAAAAAGTTTAATTGAATTGCATATGATTGGATCAACCATTGGACTGATTTCAAACTAAATCTCTTGATGTTCTTGGTGTGAAAAATTGTCTGAATGCAACCCAAGCTACATGAAAGAAATGGATGCATTTTCATTTTAACTTTTTTGGGGTCTTGGAGTTTTATTTTTGCAACCAGCATGCTTGTGCATGCTCATGAGGTGCACGCCTGCTGTTCACATGATGAGGACGTACAGGGATAGACAATAAAGAATTAAATGTAGAAAAGTGCCACTCCTCTCTTTTCCCGCTGGCCAATTACTCTGTGTCTCTCCACCAGGGGGAGGCGTTCCTGTGCCTCCCTTGCCCATCCACTGGTATTACATTATGGCCGCCGGAGGCGCCCTCCTTCTCCTGGCAGTGGCCATCTTGGTCAGAGCGCTCTGTTGCTGCCGACAACACCTGGCCACCAAGAAGAGCCAGCTATCAGTGGCCTATCACAGCTCCTCGCAGTGTTTCCAGTATTCTAACTGGTCCTCCAGTATGGCCACCCCAGGGGTGGAGCCAGTCCTGACAGTGAGGCTGGACAGCCGGGACAGACACCGTACCCTCTGCTGAAAAGTGAAGCACTTATCTGTGATGTGTCTGCTGACTTGTGATGTCAGTGCAGCATGATGGCTGCAGAAATGACAGAACATGGAAGAACCCTTCACGTATTTAGTCACAAGAGTGACACAGACATTGTCCAAAACTGCCAAGTGGAAATTTGCAAAGAAACACTGTGCCTCTCTGTCTTCAATGGATGTAGCTTCGGTTGCTGTTTTTCTGTTGTTGACATTTCACACTATGTTGCTCCTGATGAGAGGACTTAACTCGGAGTAAGTTATTTATCTGAACAGCTTGCCTTGGACCATTGAGCGCTGTCTGGCTCCTCATAACCCCAGCGGTCCTCTAGAAATGACCCCAGCATGGACAGAACACACAGCCATGTGTGGGCTGGGGAGAGGAGGAGGGGATTTGAGCTGGTTCAGCCACGAGAGCCAGCCAAAGCTGCCAAACCACAGGCTAAAACAAGACCCCAGAGACATGAAGAGCTGTGCAGTGCTGGGAGAGAGAGGGAGAAAACTGTTAGGCTGAGAGGCTGCTAGCTGTGGAAATGATCTGGCAAGCCCCAGAAAATAAAGCCCTTCTGTAATAACAACACGAGATAGCTGTGATATGAGTCGTACCAGTAGTCAGGATGCTGTGAGGAGAAAATAAAAATCCTTCCTTTGTCCTTTTCAACAGAGCATGTGCACATTAAAAAACAAAAGGAATGCAAATCCATCATACTTAAAATCCTGCATCACAAATGGAGATAACCAGCTCGTTTGATTGAACATCTTGTCTCCCCCCTGATAAAGGCATCAGTCAGTGATGGATGCAGCCGTCTTCAGTGTTTAGTGTTTCATCTTGATTCTCTGGCGTAATAAAGCACGTTGTTCCACTCCCATTTCTGCTCCATACCACCCACACCCGTTGTTCCCCCTTGTCTTTGAGCTGCCCAGATGAAAGCCCTGCCAAGCCGAGCTGTGTTGTGTTTTCAGTGGGAATATGTGCTTGTTGTTTTAGGGCTTGTAAATAGACACAGCTGTCTGCCATCACCACTTCTTACTTGATTTATACTCCTACAAATCCCACAATGCCGCTGGACCAGCTGGAAGCCATAAGCGCTGTGTTTTCCTGTATATGTGCAGCCTTGAGAGGGATCCAAGATGTAATGAAAAGCAGAGTAGAGCATGATAGGAGGCCTCGGAAGAGCTTCGAACATAAAATAAGACGGAGCTCATGCACTTCTGATTTACATAAGGTTGTCAAAATGTTCGATACTGCTCGATGGCACGCGTTTTAAAACTACAGTCTTTAACCACAAGCTGCTGGGAGAGAAAGAGAGCACTGTCCACACTGCACAAAATGTGTTGTCGCCAATGCGTGTGTGCAATTTAGACAGAGAGTTTTGTTCAAAAATAAGATCCCCAACATCAGGTTCCTAGGACTTCTCTTTTGTTGGTGTAGTATGGATATCGTTTGAATTTTACTAACATAATATCCAAGTTTAAAAATCTGGTATTGTGAAAACCCTAATATCTGTAATCAAAAAGATTTATAGTTCAATTCCTCCAAAGTGTCCGAGAGAGACACATTTGCAGCAATCTATCTCGCTCTCTCTCTTGAAACAAGCTCATTTTAACACCCCGGATTGAATGAAATTGAGGTCTTCGCTCTGGAGCTTAACGGGCCGTGCTTTTCGTGATCTGTCACACCAGTAAGAATCCATCACCTTCTCGCCCACAGCTCGGCAGAAAGCACCTCCAATTTGTTGCCACAATTTAGACGCAGAGCTTTTCTCTTGGGAGTAAAAAAAAAAAAAGCACTTTTTTTGGCACGCTTTCAGTTTGTGCTTTTAAATCACGCTGAGGAGGAGGAGGAGGAGGAGGAGGAGGAGGGATTGGACACCCTGCTCTGTCCATCCCGACACCGTTACGCTCCAAGCCTCTAATAGTTGTAATTAGTTAATGGACGGATAACATTTATTAAGGCTGCGGTAAGCACTTTTCCCTCCAAACCGCCGCACCTTCATCGCCCAACCCGCTGCCAACTACAGTTTCCCTGGAAACAGAATGAATAACGCCATTGGCCGTCAAAGACCTCCAGATCTAGACGTGTGCATTGCCAAGCAGCTACTCCCACTCCTGCACGATGCCAAAAGCAGCAACACACACACACACACACACACACTCTCATCTAAAGTACACTTGAGTTATTTGGCTCCACTAAAGTGCTGCAGCCATCCTTAAGTTTTTACCACTTGTAATCTTCCAATTCAGACACTCGACATCAATTTTCAGTTCACACCGGCCTGACTTTGAGTGAGTTTTTAACGCCATTTAAAGCCACAAGCACTACTTTAATGTGGCTGCCCGTTACTTTTCCGTGTCTTTAATCATCTTAGTCACCACTCTTAAACTTGTCGGTAACAGTGATTCTAACGGTGATAATGATTGTTGTTGTTGTTGTTGTTAATGATTTCTGCATCTGTTTTTACTGGGAATGAACAGTCTTATGCCATCAGTATGTTATGTGACGACTGTGTGTTTGACTGGAATGTATCATGACGATGTTTCTCGATAAATAAAGACGTATTTTTCTATTATTCTGAGACGTACGTGTTATGTGGAGCTCAAAATGTCATAGCACCAGTAAAATGAGAAAGAAGGATTATTTGATTGTTAGCTTCAGCAAGGGTTTTTAATTTAAAGGTTTTTTGTTGCGTTTGCTGTGCACGATTAATTTGCTTGATGCTTGAAGACCGTGTTTCCTGTGTCTCCCAACAGTTAAGAGACCCTACGAATTTGGAGATGGACGTCTCTTCAGTGGCAGAGACGCATTAGGTGGAGGTAAGGCACAACTTATTTTCGTCACATTTCTGGTCTTAGAATGCAAAAGCCATTTCAGTTCAGTCACATCGCCTGGCTCAGAACTGGCCTTTGGGGGGCGACTACACATGCTGTAGTAAACGTTCGACCCGCGTATTACAGTACAGTCTGAGTCTGTATTACCTTATTTGACAGGAATCTGTGCATTTCCTGTTATTTCTGACCATTTTATAAATAATAGTATCATTATGCGTAAGTTACTGAAACCCCAATTAAATCTGGTAAAGAAGAGGATCTTGCTCTTTTCCTTTAAATTGTGTTTTCGCTTTACATACACATTTGTTTAAGTACATTTATTTGAGTTAAGGTATTATGTCAAATAATCACAGACTTAAGTCACAGATCATTTGGATCATTTGATCAGATCAGGAAATTGAAAAATAATAAAAATATATTTGCTGGCTATAACGCAGCGCTGTTTGACAGTCTGTGTGGAGAAGTTCACAGACTACAGCTGGCTGACGTTACGGCCGTTAAGTTATTGATTGTTTGACTCGTCTCAGCGTGCCCCTGCGATGATCCATCTGCAGACAGCAGAGGAACAGGGACAAGTAGCCGCAGCTAGCCTACATCATACGCGGTTTAGTACAATTTTAACATGACTGTTGGAAAATCAACCCGCATTTAGAATTTGTGGGTATGAGCGGAGCGTCATGAACCAGTCAAAAGAGACGAACAGTCAATCAGCTGGCTTTGTAGCGCGAGCCACATGAGTAAACGGATGAGAGGGCAGATGACTGCTAGAAGTCAGAGATGTTTTATGTTCTGCTTGATCAACAGTCGTTTGATGTTTTGATATTTTTAACATAAATTCAGAGAGGATTTGATTTGCAATTTGAATAGTCTTTTTTTTCATTGGCGCTTGTGATTTTCCTTTGGGGGGCGCCAAAGAATTCTCTATGCAGGAAAAACCCTGAAAGTTAACTCCACTGTCCTCCCTCCTTCCTTTCTTGTCACAGTTTTACAGTTTCCTGAGTGGAACACGGCGTCCCCGTCATCTGATCCCCCGGTGACTCGCGTCTCAGAGAAGGACAACTCGTGGCTGTACACGCTGGACCCCATCCTGGTCACCATCATCGTCATGAGCTCCCTGGGCGTCCTGCTCGGGGCGGTGTGCGCCGGCCTCCTCCTGTACTGCACCTGCTCCTACAGCGGCCTGTCGTCACGCTCCTCCACCACCCTCGAGAACTACAACTTCGAACTGTACGACGGCCTCAAGCACAAGGTCAAACTGAACCAACAGCGCTGCTGCACCGAGGCGTGAGGACAGACGCAGGCGCTCTGTGAAAAGCTCTCACTATTTTCTTCATTCCGTCCCGTTCACTTTATTGTCAGTTTACTTTCTCGGTGGTGCAGCTCCCCAGACAAACGGATGACGTCACTTTTCAGCTCATACGAGGACTGCTTTCGAGCTGGAAAAACGTGGCAAAGCCCGATCTTGGAATTTCTTATTTGGGGAAAGAACCCAGTTGAGGTGAAACTGGGGTTCCCCCCCGATGGATTATTCCACTGCGGAGACATTTTCGGCCTCAAAAACTAAATATCTACACATATCAGTTACAGGTTCCTGCTCCACCAAAAGAGACGTGTTTATAAATGCATCTTAGATTTGTACGAGGTCTAATTTTGAAACTGGATACTGTAAGCTACACATACAGAGTCAGAACACATTGTGATGGATCGGTGGTAGGTTAGGAACAAGCTTAGAAAGCGTCTTTTTTGGATCACGTGAACACAGTGGCCTAGAACTTAGCTCCTTTGTGTGGCCCCCGTGGACTTTTTTGTTTTGTTCTGCTACCTATCAGTCTCAGTTATCTTCTTAGTTCCTGCCAGTCTGTGGTATTTTTAGTCACCGGCATCCGTCGAGCTTGTCTTTCTGCTCGATCGCTCTCTCTTTCTGTTAATGTTTTCGTTCTGGCCTGGAGGATAAGTAGTAAAAAAAAAAAAAGAAGAAAGTGTATGTGTATGTAGAGGTAGGGAGGAGGGGGCATTTTAACACATATTCTTTTAAATGACAGAGCGAGTTATTGTTAGATTTAGTTGTTACTGGTTCCTGTCACAGAGAAGGTCATGTTTACATTGTGGTTAATGGTGAAAAGGTCAAGGAGCTTTCGTCGGTGCAACCTATGGATTGCTGGTAAGGGCAGGGACTGAAAAACCACTGAAGAAACAAAAGAAGCGAGGGAATGACGGAACACTAAAAAAATCCCCTCCCTCATTTCTCTCACGGGGGGGAGGAGGGGGGGGGGTGATGATCTCCCTGTGCTTTTGCAAAAAGGAGAACAAAACGAACGGGATCAAAAAAAATGCACAGCCGGAAACTTCTCAATCGACTGACTTTAAAGCCTTAAAAGCAAACTTTTCTTGGAAACGTAGAAAAAAGGAACGTTGAGGCGACAAAAAGACAAGAGTGAAGATATGAATCTCTCTCTTATATGTGGACCTCAAAAGCCATGATTTAAAGGACCTACTCCCCCTGAACTCAACCAAACTCACACATCACGACACCCCCACCTCAACTCTTATTTTGGATTTCTTATGTTTTCTTTGCATCGGTATTCAATGGGACGGTTTTGAACCAACCGGAAAGGCTTTTTTTCCCCCAGGACTCATGAGCCATGAAAAGGAGAGAATGAGAAATTTCCACCCACCAACATGCACATGCACACATTTCGTCACTTGTATATACAGACGTGTATACAGAACGGACTTCCACACATTCTAGTAGGCGCTCTGACCGATACATGAAGGGAACACGGGCTGCTGCTGAGCCACCTGAGGCATATTTGAGTACACAAACATCTAAGAGTCACCACACTGACATGCACTCAACAATTTCATCACATGAACATTTACATACAACACACAGTCCGTCCCTCTCCTCTGAAGCCCGCTTCTCTGGACCCCACTGACTCTCTTCAAAGTGCCTTGGAGCCTCGGGGATCCAGCTTGCCTTTGGAGCCGGTATCAGAAAAAGTCATTTGACACTGACAAGTGACAGTCACAGCGCCCCCTTCTGCCTGGGAGGACCAAACGATGTAAAAGGACACGATCCCCCGCCCCCTTCGCACTGCTCGGACTGCTGTTGTTGTTGTTTTAAAGGGGTCTTTGTACAGAAATGCTCTTTTTATGATTGTTATTATAATTATTGTTATGATTATTTAATAAAGGATTTATACCATACTGGAAAAACAAGCTGGCTGAGATTTATTTTTATATTCCAGATGTATTTGTGGAGGCGTGCAAATCATAATCAGTATTGTCACTGGCTTCAAGACATTTGTTCATGTGTGACAGAGGCAGATATTAAACTCTGCTGGTTACTTGCAGGAAGCGGTTCATTTAAAATTAGTTAGGACAGAACAGTGTTATGAAAAACATTTCTTATCATTTACCTTGAGCTCGCTTCTCTGCAGGGAAAATCCAACAACAATCCCGGTCTCCTGCACATATACATCGATGTATAAGGAACACCTGACGAGATAACAAGCCAGGTATTACATTTACTGCCTTGAACAAGCACTCCCCAATATTTAGTCCAAAAATAAACACATTTGGTCCACTAAGAAAATGTCATTCTGTTGGAAACGCTGTCCTTATGTATCAAACAAGCCAAGAAATAAATCAGCTTTAGGTGAATAATAATTGTGTGCTTACCGCTCACGCCTCTCGTTCAACCTGGTACCTTCTGTCACCAAAAATCAAGGTAGTGAGGGCCACAATGCACCAATCCAGGACGCAGTAGTTAACCTCATCATGGCCACTTCTTATGCTCAGTCTGTGGAAAGAACATAAAAGTTCAGATTGATGCAACTTTGTCTTCGCTGTATTGACATACCAGCAATACTTTGGAAAGAAAATAAACACTTCCTGGCCAATTAGCCACAAACTCCATCTGTGACTTGGAGTCAAACTTTTACTTTTAATTGCAGAAAGAGAACACACAGGGGAATCTCACACACACACACACACACACACACACACACACACACACAGACTTGTGTTCTCGCTTTCCGTCTCGGGCACACACACACACACATAATGCTGTGTTGTCAGCCTGCTACACTTGGCCTCTAATCTCCCCATGATGTCCCATTAGTCTGGACCTCTGGTGGCCCTCATTTAGGAGCTTCAACATCAAAGCTTTGAAGTGCCCGGCGTCCCAGCCACACACACACACACACACACACACAGAGGCTCTTACAGTACACATGCAATTACTCTGCTTCTCTTTCATACAGCTTGCTTCGTCTCCCACACACGGTTCTATTTATCCACACGAGCTTTCTTCACCTAAATGCAAACACTGTTCAGCAAACACAGCTAACAGACTTCCAGATCCAAGACATGATATGGTTAACGATTTGGAGTCTCCAGGACGCCAGTAGAAGGGGCTAAGGTTGACAAAATGTGCGATACTTGAATACTTTTAGATATCACATGTTTTAGAACGATACAATCCCTTTTATTTGAATGATCGATAGTATCAAAAAGTATCAAAGCTTTAAGTATAGTATGTAGAATTGACAATGTTTACATTAAAGTATCTAAATTAATTAATTAAAAATTGACTAAGCCTATATATTTTTGGTTGAGTACTTACATTACCTCAAATTACAGTTCAAAGCCAGAGAAATCCGTAATTTTAGAGTTGTAAAGGGACGTGTCGTGTCGCGGCAGCCGCCATGGCACTGCCAGGCACAAAATGTTTACCGTTGCCAAGGAAACACCGGATGTTACGTCAAAGACCCCTGCGTAAGGAAGCGAGAGCTGCTAATGAAAGCTGCCGTACTGTTGCTATTTGTGCTGCTGTGATAAAAAAACCTCATCGTCCGTAAACATATTCTCTTCCTCAGGTCGTCACCGGCAGGGGGGGAAAATATTGTCTAAATTGCACAAACATGTGTGGCATGTTTTCAATCTATTTGTGCAATTTAGACAAAGTGTGGGAGTTCACCTGAACATTGTTGTGATAACTAACAGGAAATTGCCCAATCAATCTAACCATATCGTTAGATTTTCTCAAAAATCATATCAGAGTTCACAAATCTGGTATTGTGACAACCCCACAATGTAGATAACTCACTCAAGGTTTTTCACTGAAATTGAATTATCCAGACACAAGAGAGAACGATATAAATATACACTCCCATTCACTCTTAGATTTATCACTATGATGCGATCTAATCTAGTTTAAATATCTGTTATTGTAAGGACCCTGAAGGGGCTTACAACAGATGATACAGTCCTAGAAGATGAATCAAAGTGTCAAAGTTAATGTTGCATTTCTTCTAAAAAAGTGTTTTTCCTCACTGTCATCATAACTTGTAGCACGGGTATCACATTACGAGCCATGCAAAGCAGAACTACACGTGTTGTAGCTGCAAAGCGGCGTTGGCAGTGGCTGTTAGCGTGCTCCGGTCCGTGACATAGCGGGCCAATTACTGTCTCTGAAAAAACACAGACGATCCCCAGTCTGCCGGAGGAGTGCGATGCCATCTGCTCGCAGGTTTGACTGATCCCGGCAGAACAGTCACGACCACATCACACGAGTGAACGGCAACAGGAAATTACCAAAGGAGCCAGATTGTCATTGTTCCAAACCACCTCTTGTTTTCACAACCAAATTATTCTTAATTTTCCTGCCCTGCAAGTGTGTGTGTTGTTTTTCTAGGCTTTTATCAGTCCGTACCGGCACACTGCAGGGGCCCTTTTCCTTTAGCCGTCAGATCAGAGAGTTTCTTTGCCTCTGAAGCCGAGGCAGCCTTCAAAAGAAAAAAAAAAAAAAAAACTCTGGCACCCTGTAAGTCGACAGGCCAGATTGCAGAGGGAGCCGGTTTGAGGGTCGCGCCACAGGAAGTGACTCAAACACACAACTAATTAATCTTGGGATTATGTAATCAAAATGGAAGAGAGGGCACACATGCAGCATGTTAGTCACCACAGTTAGGAGGGAAAGTTTGTTTGGTTTTCCAGCTTAATCGCTTGGTATTTCCTTCGAATAACTTCTCGCAGAGTCTCCTTAGCAAGGTGAAGCCCGGATGGCATTACATCAATTTCAACAGTTCTTTACACTTAAAAACAGATTGTGTAAATGAGCAAATCACTTAGTGGCTGCACTAACAATATCAATCAATCAATCAAGCTTTATTTGAATAGCGCCACTTCATAACAAATGTTTTCGCAAGACACTTTACAAAAAGAGCTGGTAAAAAGACCTTACTCTTATTTAAGAATGAGCTTGAAGGCCCAATCAGTAAAATACCTCCTGAATGAAATGATAAAGTGAGTTTACTATATGATCAGACGTTAAGGAACATGCTATGTTGAAGTGCTGGCTTCTCTGACAACAATGCAGCAGCCAGTATGTCCTCCTTCTAACTTTAGATTCTGCTCCTGAATGATCTGGATTTGTTTGGACCAGAGAAGGTAGGCGGTTTTAAGGCGACCCCCCAACCCCCACACGGCCGTTTTGGACGCCCCTCGGTTTGCCAGATATGAGAGCAGTTATCAGGTCAACAGGTGTTGCAGCGATGGAAGCGGGTCAAGAGAAGTGGTTCAGATAGAAGCGATTGCTCCTTTAAGAACCTGAAAAACAAAATATGACTCACCAGCTGCAACGCTGGATTAGCGTTAGCCTATTTTACTTCTCTGTTTTTAGACTCTAGATCTAGAGCATATTAGTTCTCCACGTCACAAATCCGGAAAACGGATTCCTTGTTTTCTGGCATCCTTTCACGCCATTATACTGAGCCATTTTCTCTTGCCCCACATTGCTCTGCATTGCATTTATGTACATGACACGAGGGTTTCCTTCTTTAAACTTACACTAAACAAACGTTAGGATTCATCCCATGGTCTTGGGGAGCTTTAATGAGGCAGAAATATACCTTCCACGGAGACATTTAAATTCAAAAATCCTCCATATCCTTCTCCCTGCACCTTCAGGGACAGTCTGCAGAAGAGAACCACCTGGAGACTTAAACCCCACATCTCTTTCAACAACATCCAAAGTGCCGTCGCGAACCGCACCAGCGTTGCGCACACACATGCGTATGCAGAGGCTGAAAGTGTGCTAACATGTTTCATGCCTACAGACACGCACCCAGGCACCCACATCCCGGTGGTTTTACTGGGAAGGGGGCCCGGATAATCTTGTCGGGCCTGCCAGCAGTTCAAAGCACCAATATGGGTCAGATTTAGGAGGGGCTGGAGGATGGAAATTGGGCTCTGTGGCAACTTGCCTGCCAATGACGACAGACCCAAATACAACGTTGCGCAGACCATCATTTTCCTTCCTCTGTGACATTATCATCCCCCCACCAGCAGAGGATACCGCCTCAGAAAACAAACACATGGAGGAAATGATTAAAAAAAAAAAAAAAAAAAGAACTGCTCTGTTCAGATCTCCAAACTAGGCCAGCTTCTTGTCATTGTGAGGCAGCACAGAGGAAATTAACGCGATACAAAAGATGCAGAGGGAAATTTGATGCTTTTGGATGCTACTCCCCTGCTGGGATCTCTCAGAAGCAATGTTTGGGTGCAAAGCCCTGATTGATTTCCCAGAAGCCCCTCAGCTCTGACTCCTCTCTCCGTCACATGGCACAGAGCGGCTAAAAGGCTTGAGCAATTTCCTCATCGCTTAAGTTTTGTTGTGGACGCGCAACATGACCAGTGGTCCTATGAGGTTGGCCACCTGTTCGCTCCACTTGACACTGCTGTGTTTGGAGTCACGGTTGCCCTATATAGTGCATGGAACTTGTTATCAGGCGTGGTGGGAGGCCTCTCTCAGTGGGTCCTAACCATCTGTCTGGAGTGTTTTTGCGGGGCAAGTTTGAGTGAAGGTGTTGCAGTTGAAGTGCTTGATGTCAAGAGGAAGAATAATTGTGAGTTTCTTGAGGAATACTTTATTTCAAGTATTGTACTGGATGGAGTATTTGCTTCAGAATAAAGATGCCGTTGTGCGTTTATTAAGAGGAATCTGCAGACCTGACATACTGAGAGAAATTATAAATTAGATATGTCACAGAAATTCTGTCTTCTTCTTCATGAATGATACCTGTCACCTACATTACCCAAAATGCAACTTAGACATGTAGTTTAACTTCAAAACATTTAAGAAACCCCCCTGCCCCCCCCCCTTGCCATGTCGCGGATATAATATTAACTTTCTGCATTTTAACCTCAATTTTTTTAAAGCTTCTGCTCTCATGCACACACACAAACACACACAAATCAATTTAAAACAAATTCTGAGCAACTTCAGAAAACAGTAAATACCTGCTTATTATTGCCTTTATATAAAACAAATAAAGCACTTCATTTTTACTCACCAAAACAAATCTGAAGTAAGACTCTTTGGTCGGCCTGAAAGATAAACAGAACAGAAAAAGTCATGTTAATTATATATGCGTGTAAACATTCCTGAGCACTTTTACATATTAACCACTTCAGAAAACATAAACGCTTTGCATGAGGGGATTCGTACCTGAAAAGTGGAGATTTTGAATGAGGCATCCAGGTACACAAGTCGCCTGATTAGTGCAGGTGTGTACAATATTGAAGCTTAGTCAACTGTGTCCACTCACGGAGCTCAACAGTGCGACGCGCCCCCTGCTGGAGCCCTCCGGTGACTACAACTACTCAAACGATACCTGCCCGTAGTTGAACATAAAAACATGAATAGAATAAAAAATACATAAGAACAGATAGATAGATAACCCCAAGTTCCCATGGTTTACTTAAGGGTTCCTTTGTAGCTGCAAGAATCATAAAGTGCTCTCTTGTAGGATAAGTATCGGCTTTATACGGTTTCCACGGTACCATTGGGAACTATATTTATCCACCTGTTCCACTTAAATTTGTTCTGAGTCTTATACATTTCATTTACTTTTACAGTGCTGTTCATCCCTTTATAAGAAAAGGGGATTAAGATGTTTTTTAGGGCAATTTTGCCTTTATTTGACAGGACAGATGAAGAGAGACAGGATATGATACATGCAGCATAACGGCAAAGGTTGGATTCAAACCCAAAGCTGCTGCAATGAGGACTATAGCCTCTGTACATGGGGTTTTTAGATTCTTGGAATATAATTTTGAAGTGTGAGACATCTCTGCATACAAATAGTTTGTTGAAAATGCTGTATTATGCATGCCTCATTTGACAAGCAAATATTGGGAATTCATGAAGCATAATGTTGAAATTGTTTGAGTAATTGTGAGTAATCCTCTTGATGAAGGAAAGAAAGAAGCATCATAACATTCTTGTAAAAATAAACCTTCTTTAATGTCCTTTTTCATTTATGTCCGACAAACAAAAATGAGATCTTTGGAGCTATAAATAGAAGAGTGATCAGGTTGTTGGTGTAAAAGTTTGAACTAATTTGCGTTCTAAAAACAGATCCGATAAGGTCGGTGAAACCTTAATGAGTTTGAACTTTTGAACCTTACAGAAAAAACAGCGCTTAAAAAAAGAACGTCAATCACATAATTTGAAAAGGAAAGCTGTTCATGCAGCAATCCCACTTGACAGCTTGTCACGATTTGATCAATCTTGGACAAAACATCTAAAAGCTTGTGTATTAATCTGCTCAATGCTGACGGCGCCGACAATTCTTTACTCCCAATCTGTCAAAATTAGCTTCCAAGCTGATTCGAGTCGCCAAGCCTGTTAGTATTTGAGCAGGCGTGTCGATAATAGAAGGAAAAACAAAGTTGTATTTCATGAAAAGTGGTAATCAATTAACAGTGACAAAAGCATGTTGGAGCTTTCAAGATTGCAGCTGGGGCAGATTTCAGAAGCAAGCAAATAAACAGCGGCGCTCGTCATAAGTCATGCTCGCTGTCTTTTACGGAGAAGAAAGAGAAAAAGGAATTATCTGAGCGGCTGAGGCTGGCACCCAAGTTTAGCCAACGTGGAATAATTGAAATGGCCTTCTCATAACTTTCTCTTTAAATTAGGCCTTTTTCATTATGTATTCCATTGTGACGATAATCAAATTCAATTGCACTTTGAGACCCATCTGTTCCAAAATAATTGACGACTCTAGCCTTCAAAAAAAAAAAAAGAAAAAAAAGAAAACAACCTCCAGAGTCTCCTCGGCTCGGCTCATAAATCTCCTCATCTGAATCAAATTAGCTCCACGACGTGGAGTTTACGAAGCGGCTTTGTGAGAATTCCCGCCACATTTCTGCTTTGATGAAGTTCAACACTGCACAATGATGTCTGCTGAAAGGCAGCTGCAAATAATTTAAAAAAAAAAGGTAGTTTATGAAATCAGAGTGTTTTTCTATTGCGACAATAAATGTCTTTATGTTAATTGATAAATATATTAAAGATCTGTAATCAAACATTTCAAGCTGACAGCTGTGTTGGTGACTTGAAATCTCAAACCTGAGCAATTTCAGACTTTTGACAAGAGTTACTGATAACCAATATCTTAGCTGATAAAGTGAATTTTGGGGCACAACATAAGTACTCCAAAGGTTGCCTTTGATTACTACATTGGTAAAGATTACACTGCAAAAAACTCAATCTTAAAGTAAGATAAGATAAACCTTCATTCAGTGCTGTTACAGTACCATGTACCATGCAGGGGTCGGGAAACGCTCTCCATCAGGGAGGATAGCTTTGCCTTCATCCTCCTGTCTCCCACCACCTCCACAATGTTGGGGGGGGGGGGGGGGGGGGGGGCAGCCCAGGACAGAGCTGGCCTTCTTCATCAGTTTGTTGAATCTGTTCCTGTCTGCAGCCGTGATGCTGCGGCTCCAGCAGACCACTCCGTAAAGGATGGCTGATGCCACCGCTAGTGTTGTAGTACTCGAAAATCGGTCCTCGAAGATCTTTTTTTTTAGGAGGTTTCTGTCTCGTAGTTGGTATGTGTGAACAACTCCTTTAAAACATTTGGAGTGAAAACAGGCTGCTGTCTGGGCCCAAAGCACATCTGTAATATCCTCCAAACCACAAATTGCAAACTTATAGGGATTTCAGCAAAGGATTTCCACTATTCTCTTTATTTCAACATGGCATGATGTTGTTCTTATCAATCAGTTATTTCCCCCTTTTTCTGTGGTTCCATGATTTGATCATAAGCAGTATAATCTCTCGGAGGAAAGGGATGTGGCAGAAGGAAGCTTTGTGCCAGTGATGCTGATGTGAATCTCTGTGTGTGTGTGTGTTTGCTGAATGTGGGCTGCAGCTCTCTCCTCTGTGTACATCCTCAATCCTCTGAGTGGGCTACTGTTGATGGTAGAAGGGTCACATTTTATGCTTTGTAGGAGGGAGAAATAGCATGCACGCATGTGTGTGTGTGTGTGTGTGTGTGTGTGCGCAACAGTAATGCAGTGACATCCTCCTCTCTGTGATACTTCTGTAGCACGACGCTCTGAGTAACTGCACCCAGGAGAAAGCGGATTTACAGCCTCATTCGACTGTGCTGAGCTGCAGCTAAACATCATTCAAGCCGCCAACTTAGCAATCCCTCTGTATCCCAGAAAACACACACACAAACACCCTCTTCAGACCAACACACACACACACACACACACACTAGCTTTGCTCTCTCATTTGCAGTAAAAGTTTTCCAGAGTTATCTGCACATTTCTCTTATTTCTCTGCTCTGTGTTATCGTTTTACAACCTGAATTATTATATTATGGGAGTGCAAACTTTCACAGCGTTAGTATTTATGCTCAGTAATATTCCTAAATCATGCGGGGATGTAAAGAGGCAACAGAGGGGGGAAAAAAAAAGGAGAATATATATGTGGACGAGTAAATCAATGTTTTGCATGAGAAGGGAGGAAAAAGGAGGCCGGCTAAATTTGCTTATCAGTCCCTCTCAAGCTACAATTCAAGCCCTTGGAGACATAACAGCATCAGGCCGCTGGGGCACAAGCAGGGAGTCGAGTAAACACATCGTAGTAGAATAAGCAAGCGACACAAAAGGCCTTCCTCCCATGACCGAGGCCACACACAAAGACGCAGCGCCACACATACACACACACACACAGGGGAAGAACAGCAAACATCCAAAGCATCCACATCCACTTACAAACAGTGCCGTGAATATCAAATCAATAGCCCGTCTTTATTTTTGAAACTGTTCAAGCTTGGCGTCGTCGTGGGATTATTTGTTACAGTAATAACCCTCAGAGGATGGTGGTGGGGGAGTGTGCGCCACCTGCCCCTCTGCGTGTGTGGAGGGTAAACAACAACAGGGTGTGACACCACGGCTGCATGCATGTTTGTGTTTTTCATTACATGTATGGACCTGCTTGGGTTTTGCATTAACATGTGTATCCCTCCTGCTCGGCCCGATCTGCATTTTTTTTGGTTCTGCTTCACATTTAGTTGTTATGGAAACAAGAGCCACCGCAGGCATAGCATTAGCATGTTAGCGCTACATAGCTGAAGAGCAAGTTCAAGAGGTTAAACTATCTCGCTTGCCAAAAAAAAAGAGAAGTGCTTCCATACTTTTTGCGCCAAGGATTGCCTCCCAGATTTATAAGGGAGTGAAAAAACAAAATCTTTTGCAAAATTATGCGCATATAAATTCCCTTCTGCATTGCTTTTCACCTGTGTTTTTCAACCCATTTGTGCCAGAATATGATTTTTTTTTTTTCTACTTGCAAATGCACAGAAGAGATTGTGAGTCTTCCTGCTGAGTTTTGACTGGTGACACTGCTTCCATAACAGCTTCCATAACTCATGAATACAAGCTAATATATTCTAAGTGTGTAGGCAGAGTGTAAACATAAGCGTGCATGTTTTTTGTTGCATTACTGCCTTTTCCCTCCCACAAATCTGTCTTTTTTTATGACAACATGCGGCGCTGTAAAGGTAGCCTCTGACACACACCAGCTCTGGCATTGCAATGTGTCTAAAAGCATCAGTTCTTCATCAGCGAGAAGATGCTTCCAGTATTCCCACGACCCCCAACCAAATAAATAACTCTCCCCCTGCCTGACATCAGTGAGAGTCCTTGTCTCCAGATGCTCGGCCTCCTCCTCCTTCTCCACCCCTTCTGTAACCACGCTAAAGCCTGGAGGAGAGCAGCGCTACCTGCTTGCAATCAACACATGCATAAACACACACACACACACACACACACACGTGCAGACCAGCACATGCACACATGCAGCCATGATGGATGGCCTTCCCCTCTCACTAATGCACAAAAGAATTATCCATCACCCTTCAGCCCAGAGGAGAGAGATGCTCTTTAAAAATTGACACCCTGCTCCATGGCAGCGTCCCCATGAAGCCCACGCGGAAGTCAGCCTGGGTGCAGAGCTGCTCATGCAGGAAGGTGCCACCTCCTCCTCCTAATCTTTCTCGGCTCTGGGATCATTCTCACTCTTCCAGTTCATTTAATACTTCTCACATCGCACTGCATTACTGAAAGTTGCTCAGGATGAATGACACTAAGAGTGCATTTACTTCCCTTGACAAGGCTGTGTGCAGTCTGAATACTGTACTTGATATTGCGATTGTACGTTACTTTGAAAACCTTCTGCATAAACTTGCATTAGCTGGCCAGAGT